TAGAGAAAGACGGACAAGCGTACCACAAGACAAATGATCCCTCCTTTAATGATTAATGTGTATGCTGCCCACAACCACAATAGCATATTCCCTTATCAAGGGAATCAAATTTCCAAGTTTTGCTGATTTCCTTGTCATTAAAAAGCAGAACCAATATGATTGAATTTAATTAATTAAGAAGAAGAAGAAGAAGGAGAAGGAGAAGAAAACGAAACGCAAGCAATGGCTTGAATTGAAGCTGGGTTATGAAATTAATTTTGAAATCAGCTCGAAATATTATAAACCACACATTATATATGCTCTCTGCTGCATTATATATGGAGTTGGCATGTGATATAGATATTGTTCCGGGGTACCTTGTCACAAAATTATTAGATAAAGTTAGGCCCTCTAACAAACTTGATTTTGGACTTTAGTACGCATGTGCAGCGCAGATATTGGCTTTGCTTGTCTGCACAGATTTGTGGCCATCCTTGCCAAATTGCTGTCAAATATCAGCCCTCACCCATCACATACAAACTCTCGTCTCGTCAATATTCGCTATTATTTGTTCTTTTCCAAGTCGCAGCATTTATGTAATCCTTTCAGTTATTGCCTGAATAAGATTCTAATTCTGGCTGTCTGAAAAATTTAATATGTTTTCATGATTGTTTTTCTCTTTCACATTTTTTCTCTCTTATTAATTTGCTCTTCATGATGAATAAGGTACGTTTGAAAAAAATTTATTTTTTACACATTTAATATTTTTAATTAATTTAAACTGTTTTCTTAAACCGTGTAATTTGGTTATCAACCTCTCATGAGAAGTATCAGGTAGAGTATTATGAGGAATGTGACTACACGTTCTTGATTCGTTTGGTGAGAGAGTGAGAAATTAAATATGTATGCTTGTCTAATGCCTATTTTGTTTTCCGCATGGAGTTTGAATTCTTGGACTCGTGTTTAGGGTGAAAAAAAATTAAAGAAGAGGATTGGTATCATCGGATTATAAGACCCTAACAATAACTTGCATGTTTCTAGTAACATGTTGATCGATATGGGATAGCTATGATGTCTTTGATATCCACCCTTCTCTACTATATATTCCTCTAGTCTTATTTACAATACACTTCCAGTATATTTTATATAGACCAAGAAAAACTTTAAAATAGGTTAACTCTCTATTAAAATATAATTATTTTTTAACTTTACCCATTTTTAATATATACATCTTTTAAAAAAGATAACTACTTATATTATAATAAATAAAGGACAAAACAATACATTTATGCTAAAAATTTAATAAAATAACTTATAAATACAACAACAAAAAACCTTCTTCTTTTTTTTTTCCTGTAAATAGGACCAGAGGAGTATGTGGCAAAATAGTTTTGTGCAAGCAAGAGGGCAGAAAAAGCTGGGTTTATAGTTTTAATTAGGATTATGGAAAATGACTAGGAATGGTTTTATTTTTAACTAGTAGGGACTTTCAGCTTGTACTCGGATTTACCATACACAAAGTAGCAGTAAATGATTTAAAAATTAAATGAAGATGTCTCTTTAATTTGTAGCAAATTGTGGAAAGAGATATATATATATATATATATATATATATGCACACACACTTATATATCTACATCTTACATACTTATATTTAATTAATTATTACTGTGAATTCGAAAGCGTAATATGAACAAATCATAAATTGTTGCTAACAAATTTATCATTGATGTTAAAGTATTAGTCAATGATTTTTGGCTGAAATTTTTTCTTCTTTTTTAAAAACTTTGAAAGCATGGCTAAAGAAGAAAAAAAGATATATTTTGACCAAAAAAAGAAAGATAAAAACTTAAAAGAGATATGGGTGTGGGGGTCTCGTGATCATCAGTAGACAACTTGATTTAATCTTTTGACTTTTTCTTTGAGCCGCTGTCGCCTTGGCTAAGATCTAATCCACTACGTTATTTAATCTAATTTTAAATACAAGACTATAATTCATTCTGTTTATTATATTTAGTTATTTTTTTAAAGTAATTAGTAAGAGTATTTTATGAAAGACAATTTCTGATTATTACAAATAACTAACTGAACAAACTTTCTTAATCTACTTAAATTAGTCAACTAATTTTTATATTAAGGATCAAAGGTAGTATATATATAGTTTCAATTATTACATTTATATATGTTCCATCCGTTGGTAAAAACATATCTGTTCTATTATTATCAGCACTCAATTAAATTACCTTATGTAAACTGCTAATTGTCCCAAGTCCCAAAAGCAACACCACGGTCAGAGTTCTCGGATTCAAACCCGGGTTGACATCTTTATGTACGTTTATTTGTATTGTATTTGAAAAAAATTAAATTACCCTGTATTTTATTCCTTCAAAAATTATATTGACTGGTTTGACCTGACTTATTCTGTGTGAATATCATGAATTTCGTAGGGTATGTAGAAATAAGTCAATTACATCATGAGGCTCTAAAATTAGGAAAATGAAGTATGACTGTATGAACGTTTTGACTTGCAATCATATCTACTATATGATTTTTCAGCAGGAAATGAATCATGTTTATTTTTGGGTTGTTGAAATAAGGAATCAGCCGATCTTGTTGCACTCATTTATTATTATTGTTATTATTAGCTCCTCACATTCACATTGATGTCCTGGTGGGCATTAAAAATAATTGTTTCTTCTTTTGACCAGGAGGACATTAAAAATAATTGACAGTGATGTTGCTAGCCATTAAATAATAAATTCGTCCTCAGCCACTATGTGATCTAGTTCGCACTTATTTGATTTGATTTAATATAATAATGGTAATGGTAACTCTAACATGAAACTGTTTTATTCTTTTTAGGTATTTGGTCCCGTGGGGTTTGTCTTGATGTTACATGAAAGACCTTATTATCTTTTGTTTCTAAATTTATTGTTTCTCTCCAAAACTACTCCCATTGCATGTAATTAACGAGAGTGATTTAAAATATAAATGATTAAATTAAAACAAAAATATTTCTAAAAAAACCCCTTTACATTTTTACAACTAAATAATTATACCCGTAATCTATACAAATTAGTTATCTAATTCCTACAATCAACTGACTTTATTTCTTAATTGGTGTAAATTAATCAGATAATTCATATATTTAAAATTAGAGTTTATTTAATGCATAAGAATGCAAATCAAGGACTGATAATCAATTGATCTTTCGTAATTCCCTCTATTAATTATCATGCAATTTGTTTTTTTCCTAATTCTGCTCGACTAAGTCATCATCCGAAGTTAGGTTAGTTTTAATTTAAAGTTCATGACGCGTAATATTATTTAATTTTCTTGATTTGATGAATAATATTAAAGTAGGGCCTGACACGCATCTACATACATATATATATAATATCATTTCTGTGTAAAGAAATAAATAGTAAATAATTTTAAAAGACTTCGGATCAAGTCCTAAAACGAACGGTTAATGAGGTATTTCAAGACTCGTGGTTGATACTTCATAATTACTTGTTGTTTCTACTTTGTTCATTAAGTTTGTTGTAACAGCAAAATAAGAACCATTTAATGAGGAATGGGAACACAAAATAAGGGAGTAATATGGACGAATTTTGTGGCATCACACATTCTACTTCGAACGTACTGACGCGTTTTGCTTTGAGCAAGACGTTCTTCCACGCCAACAAACTCAGTTTTGGTCTTCCTATTAATTCACATCACATCATATTCAATATTTTCTCATGCACTTTTAATATTGCTAAATTCTACACTCTGTGTGATTCACGGGAACATTGGAAATTTAATAATTTTGTTACGAGTAAGAGTACCAAGAAATTATGACATAGAACTGCATAAGTCAATTATAAATGATTATAGCAAAATGATACTTTCGAAAATAAAAATAAATAAAACTTGTTTTATTTTCAAAGTATTATTCACCTACATACCATACCATTACATCTTTTCTTATATTTTAATCCTCCCTTTTTTTTTTGTTGCCCGTTGCCTCTTCTCCATCACTTTTTTTTTTACTTGACTGAAAATAAAAATGGGACCCACAGCACTGTTCAATGGACGGTCGTTCTAAAATTGCTTTCCTATATATATATATTGTTAGATGGTAAGGGAGTGTTTGAATGGAAATCAAACTATGATTTTAAAAGTCATTTAAAGGTAAACAAAGTAAATACTCCTCCGGTCCTTATTATAAGACCCAATTTGACTTTTTATTTGGTCCTAATTATAAGACCCAATCCATTTTGTCTCTTATATTTATGTATTTTTTTTCCAAGATAATCCTTCTAATAATGATAGTTTTAGCCAATATACTTAATTAGCAAGGATATTTTAGGAATGACAACACTTATTTATTATAAATAACCAATTTAACTTACTTCCTTAATCTTCTCAAATAAGTCAATTGGGTCTTATAATTAGGACCGGAGGAGTATGTGAATAAGTTTGTCTCGATTTACAAAAAGTACTTTTAGAAAACATTTTTAGGGGTATCCAAACACGCCTTTAGATTTTTTGTTTTTACAAAAAAAGTTTAGGTGAGTTGCGTCCCAGGAGCTCACTAGAGTTAGGGTATGCCTTTAGGCTTAGAGAGCGCCTACAGATGTACTTGCAGATCGCCTACCAACAAGGTCTTCACATCGATAGCGGAATTTGAACTCATAATCTTATAAGTTATGGACTAACTTCTTACTAACTAGACTAACTTTTGTTGGTAGTGTCCCTTAGATGTTGTTCACTTGCTCTTTTGCCCTTAAACACTCCCCTTCATATGTTGTAAAACTCTTTTGGGCCTAGTTCTGAATTTGGCGACATTGTGAATTAATTTTTCAGCTTAGTCTAAGCCCACAATTGTGGCTCAAGTTAACCATTGAGTCTGTCTTATGGGCATTTATAACCACCTCACTTTCAGACAAGCCCAGAACAAGTAAAGAGCAAAAAAAAAAAAAAGGGGAATAAAATAAAAACAAAAGGCAAGTAAATAAAACGCGTGGATCGTTGAAACTGAAAGTGCAGAGCTCCAGAAGCAGAGAAGATGAAGATATTCGGGAAGCATGTGTTTCCAGGCCAAATCGCACTCTTCGCCTCAGGGTTTGTGATCTAATTCTTTATTCTCAGCTCAGCTGTTTGATTGATTTGGCGATCTGGTTTGAGTAGTGCTTACGATGATTATGAGGATGGAATTGAAGTGTAAATTGTGGTTTAAATCTGATTAGGGTTTTGTTCTTGGCATCAACAACGTACGATGTGCACAGATCAATAAAGAACAATGAAACCCCTCCTTCCAAGGAACAAATGGAAGCCTTAGAAGAGTACATCAGGTCGCGGCGTCGCTCTCCTTGATCCCTTCCTCTTCCTCCTCTGCTTTCACTCTGTAATACTTCTTACATGATTCGGTATCTCAATCGATGTAATATTTCGTGAAAACTTTAATTCATGTTGGATAACGCCAGGTTATTGTATTATAGTTCAGTATGTTATAATTTGAAAGTGATGACATATATTATTAAAATAATTATACTGTTAATTATTTACTGTTTTCTAATTGATTAGTTCATTTTTGGAGCCCCAGTGAGAACGTTATTTTAATTTTTAATTTGATTCTAAATATAAAATCTTAATATATGCTGCTCTTATATCTATCTGTTTTTTAAAAAGTAATTTTTATAATAATTATATATGTTAAATATTTTATTAAATAGTATTTTTAATTAATACATAAGATCAGTAAAGATATTACAAATAACTAACATAATAAATATCTTTAATCTATTTATATTAGTTAATTAATTTTTATATTAGAGACTCTTGTTAATATTACACGTTGAATGCACTCGTACGTCATATCCAAACCTATGTTCGGCAAAAAGAGGGAAGAAAGGATGTTCAAAACAATAACAGCTAGAAGAACCTTTCTTTAATCTGCTTGCCAGGAACTGACAAAAACAGGAAATGAGCAATCTCCACCACCCACCATTGAATAGTGAATACTGATGACTTTAATGGCTCGATTTTTAATTTTTAAAATTCATGTCTTAATGGGCTAAATAAAATTGGGCTATACTAGTATTGGGCCTTTGGTCAGGAAATGGATAACAGAAAATCCCATATTCATGATTTGGGTAATCCGAAGTCCAAGTCATGCCCCATGAGTCCTTGTGGAACCCAGAAGCTCGAAGCAATATGCTTAAGCACGCGGATCATCACTTCATCAGTCCCAGGTCCCAGAATTCCAACTTGGTACTCGGCCGAAACCTGAAACTCTGGAAGGGAAATTAAAGAAGGAGCTTGCTTAATCAGTTAAATTATTATCACTGCATTAGAAAATGCTCTCAGACTAGGGTTTTTGTTCAAAGAAGATGGAAGCAGAAGAAGAACGAAGCCTAGCAAGCTTCCTAAGATGGGCAGGAGGGCTTGGAATATCAGACGTGGCAATCACCAATCCATCCCAAGATTCTATTTCCTGTCTGGGTTATTCTCTATGCGTCTCCCATTTTCCTCACTCTGGCGGGTACCTCCCATTCCCCCCCCCCCCCGCTATTAAATTCTCAATAACTGCACTTATGTTCTTGGATTGAATTGTTTTCCTTACCACTCTAAAGTCCTTTCCACCACTCATAGATAATAGAGGAGGACAATTCAAGTGTTGATGATTCTGATTTGCTATTACTGACGGTGTTATATGTTTTGGAGAACTCTGCAGTAGAGGTTTGGGTGCTGTGCGAGACCTTAGGAGGGGAGAGTTGATCCTCAGAGTTCCAAAATCTGCCTTAATGACATCAGGGAATGTCCTGGAAGATAAGAAGCTCTCCATTGCTGTTAATAACCACCCTTATCTCTCATCTGCCCAGGTATTTTTCTTGCTTCTGTTATTTCTCTCCTTTCATTATCGTGTGAGAATCCTTTATATATAATTTTTTTGGTTGCTTGTGCTTGTTTAATGCAGATATTGATCGTTTGCTTATTATATGAAATGGGCAAAGGAAAATCTTCAAAGTGGCATCCTTACCTTATGCATTTGCCGCATACTTATGACATACTAGCTACATTTGGTGAACTCGAGAAACGAGCTCTTCAAGTTCAGTTTCTATTTTGAAATTTTAGATGCTGATTAGGTTAGATTACAGCATTTTGATTTTCCATTAATGTTAACATTTCATTTTTGTCAATATTTGTTAGAAATGATCTTTATAATGTTGTTATTAGGTGGATGAGGCTCAGTGGGTCACAGAAAAGGCTACATTAAAGGCCAAATCAGAGTGGAAAGAAGCCAATGCCGTGATGGAAGAAATCAAACTCAAGTCCCAACTTTTAACGTTGAAGGCATGGCTTTGGGCTACTGCAACGGTGAGAAAATCTGGCCCATGGAAGGACCTATTTACAAAAAGTATTTTGATATAGACTATAAATGGTTTATTATATATTTTATTTTACTTTTGGCTGAAAGAGCAGAACTTCGTAAATAAAATTTTACTGGTATTGATGCATCGTTGAACTGGGATTTATTTTGCATGTTTAAAGCCATGCCGAAATTACTTCACTTAATGGAAAGGACATTATTGACTGATAATGGCTTCATACATAATGGTAATGGGGGTGCGTGCTCGTCTTTATTTGCTAGCTTCACCTCAAGCTGTGCGGAATAAGTCACAACGCATTGAATTTAAGTAACTTTTTTAGTGTAAAATTACAATCCATTTACATTGTTTTATCTAGCTATTCAAAATATAAATAAATTTTTCCATCTCTCCCTCTCATCCAATCACATTGAAATTTTTGAAAATCTAGATATCGTCCCGGACATTGCACATACCATGGGATGAAGCTGGATGTTTATGCCCTGTGGGTGACTTGTTTAATTATGATGCACCTGGAAGGGGCCCCCTGACCCCGAAGATAAGGAGATTCTATCTTCCAACTCTTCCTCCCAAGTCACTCCTATTTTAAATGCAGAGAATACATTAATGTTTGATGCCGAGGAGCTTGATTCTCATTCCCAGAGATTAACAGATGGTGGATTTGAGGAAGATGTTAATTCATATTGCTTTTATGCTAGGGAAAATTACAAGCAAGGAGAGCAGGTAATTCATTGCATTTTCAGTATAATAGTATTACATTTGGGTTGCTTTCAGCATAGGAGTTCCTAGACTTGCCATTTTCCTCAGCCCCTCCCCCCTGAAAAAAATCCAAAAGAAACAAGGAAGGTAGGTAAAATCACACAGAATCTTTGACGAAAGTGTTATTATTAACCCTAATGCCTGATGCATCTATTTTGTTCATGTCGACTTGACTGATTCTAGACTAGCGTGTTTAGTTTATCCAAGACTTCAGTGTCACATCTTAGTAACTTCTCCTCGACTCAGTGTAAATACTCTCAACTTATTGGAATTATTACAAGTATTGACCAAACTTTATTTCTACTCGAGGCTAAGATTCAAGTATAAAGCGTTGATTGTTTCTTGTCTTGGCGTTGTAGACTATGGAAATTACCAGAATGATTAATCTTGCCTTATTAGGGGGTCATTTATATTAATCAATTGCTAAAGAGTGTAGAAGTACTAAAATTTTCATATCTTCTCTATTGGTAAGCAAACATGAAAGTAAGCTTCAACTTGTTTCCTTCAGGTTCTATTATGCTATGGACTGTACACAAATTTAGAGCTTCTTGAACATTATGGTTTTCTCCTACCAGAAAATCCAAATGACAAAATTTTCATTCCTCTCGAATCTGCTGTATATTCTTCCAGTTCATGGCCTAAAGAGTCGCTCTATATTTGCCATGACGGGAAGCCTTCCTTCGCATTACTGTCTGCATTGAGGTTGTGGGCGACCCCTAAAAACAAGCGTAAGTCCGTCAGGCATCTTGTGTATTCTGGTTCCCAGTTGTCTGTGGACAATGAAATTGTTGTCATGAAATGGCTATCAAAGACCTGCGATTCTGCACTGAAGAGTTTGCCGACATCAATTGATGAAGACACAATACTCCTGAATGCGATGGATAATAGTCGAGATTTTTGTAGTTTCATGGAAATCACCAAACTGTTGTCTTCTAGGGACGAGATTTGTGCGTTTTTGGAAGCTAATAATCTGCAGGATGGCCATGGTTTAACTGATATACTTGTATCCAGAAAAGCTAGGAGGTCCATGGACAAGTGGAAATTGGCTGTTCAATGGCGGCTTGGGTATAAAAAGGTTCTTGTGAATTGTATCTCTTATTGCAACGAAATGCTTGAGTCTCTTTTGACATAACGAAAAGAGTAGCTGCAGTGTAGCCTGAGGTTTCTCTATTTCCAACAGTGTCTCGCGCTTTTAGTATTTTCGGTCTTTTGGTGAGTCGATATTAATTCTTTTGGTCTTTTCTGAAAGTTAGATTGTTACTTGGAAAACATATGATTGAAATACAGATGTGTGACACTAGAGAAATCGCTTCTCTTAGTTGAACCACATTGCCAATTGGAAATGGATTTATTTCGTTGAGGAATATTGATTGAAACAGAACTGTTCCCCGAATTGTAGCCACGGAAGAAGGTGGGTATTCAAAGGTTGGATGAAAACGAAATAATACCACATTGATCAGTTTGACAAAACACGGGTTCGGTTTGAATTGCTTCAATTTTCAGATGATGCTTAAACGATACTTTCTTATAATAAAAAAAAAACTATTAATAAGAGTTAATACCATTTTAATTTTGATTCCTAAAATTTGAAATAGGTAATTTGGGTCTTTGAAATCTTGTTTCTGTTTCAGGATGAAAATTACAAAAAAAACCTCAAAAAAAATATTTTTAAATATCAAACCAGTTTTGTTTATGATATTTTAATGACAAATGACAATATATTTTTATAATTATTCATGATTTGAGATTTTAAAATTCTGGGGGTATTTTCAGATTTTTCCAAAATAAAATTAAACTCATTTACTTTCTTAAAAGGGTAAACCCATTTTTCCTCCATACAAGGCCGATGACAAAATTGCTGTTGGTATGGGTTAGGATCTGTCTATTTCGTTACGCGATCCTTCAGAAAGAAAATGAGTGATCAATGCCAATCATCCTTTGATCCACCCGACGAAGAATTTGCTCCGTGGGCTTCTACAGCCCATAGAGGAAAAGTTGGGTAAACTCCTAATTATTCATTTTCATCGTCTAAGCAGCATTGTTTATCTTTTACCCGCATAGAGATGGATCAGATTCCATTGGCTTGATATCTCAAAAAGAGAAAAATCGCTCAGTATAATCAGCGTCGATCATCTGGGGAAATAATCATCACCTCCATCTCTTTAACCCGTTTGTTCTTTCCTTTTCTTTTTTTCCCCCTCCCGCCTGAACTCGTTTGCTTTATACATTACACATTTTGATTTTCTAAATGCTTGGAAAGTAATTGATGAGATTCCGATGAATAGATAACCACAACGTGTCACCGACATACTCCCAATGTAGGGAATGAATTATCTATATAGCAAAGTTGGAATCAACTTCGATCATTTGGGGAAAGCATCGTCATATCTCTTCCAACTCTAGCATCTTCAAATTAAACTTAGCACCCACACATAAGCTAAATCTACAACTACTTTTCTTCTTAAATTGGAAAAACAAGTTTAGATGAACAAGGAAGAGTCAAAAATATCTAACGCTGAAAATAAATGATGCAAGAACAGTATGACGAATGACGGCAATTCAGTGCCAAGCACAAGCGATAAGAGAAACAGGCGGGCTTCGCCGCATTAAGGAAACACAACTCTGAACCTAACCCTAAAAGCACAGCGGAATTCGACAGAAGATGAGATGGAAAAGGGCAGGAATGAGTTATTTATAAAAGGAGTATCCGGCGAGGCGGCGACGAGGCCCCAACCGAGCGGGCACACAAAATTGGAAAAAAGGGCCGAAAAACCCTAACTGCGGAGAGGCTTCTGGATCACGAATGAGATTTTGACACGTATAATCTAACATTCATATGGATCTAAAGGCCCATACTGATGGCAAAACGTAGAGACAAATCAAGGCCCATAGTGTAGACGGCTCAAGGTTGACCTTTTGACCAGCAAATTTAAATATTCAAAAGCAAAAAGAAAAAAAAGATCACCTTTTGACTGAATTAATTAATTTTTTTGGCCAAAATTGAATCACAGCCTTTCCTTCTAGATGGGTTTTTAATGAAAAAATTGTCAAAATAAAATATTTAAATATAGTGCCATTAAATTGATATGTTTGATACGCGTTGTTTTTATATGGGAGAATTACAATGATGTTTCAATAAAACAATAAATTATAAAATAAATCTTAGAAATTGTTATTTTTTACTATAAAATTTGTCATTACAGGTTGCTTAGATTGTTATTAAAATTTTTAGTAATTAATTTTCTTCCTTAGGATTTCATTGTAATTCTCCTTTTTTGTATTTGGTATGAAGTCAAGGTGAGTCGTAGAGATAATATTTTGATATAAATTACTCCTCCGGTGATTAATGTAAGACTTAATTATTAAGGTGATCTTCATCTTAAATGTAAGACTTATTTCTCATTTTTATTAATTTTTTTCAAATCAACCCCTATTGATATTCCCTTAACCATAAATTAGGTATGAGAGGGAGGAATGATATTAAGGTTGATGATTATGTTATTTTAAGAAAAATATTTATATTTTTTTATAATTAACTAACTTATCCTATTTTTTAAATTAAATTAGATTAGTTAAATACGGAGGAGTATAAAACTTATATTGATATTATAATCATTATTATCTGTTTAGTCATCTAATATTTGAAAAATTATTTTTATTCTAAGGCCTAGGGCGAGATTAAAAGTAAAGGAGGAAAAGAGAGGATAAAGAGCAAGGCCAACGAAAGTAAATGAATAGATAGATGTTTGAGAAGCCAATTACAGTGTTATGCAACAACATTTAAAGTGAGAAAATTAGTATATGCAAGTGATCAAAGTTATTGAATCCTTTTTACTCAATCACTTTGCATTCCTGGTGATTTTTTTTTTTTAAAAAAAGAATACTGTGCATTCTGACGCATTTGAAAGCGTGAGTTATTCTTAGAAAATCATATGCCTCTTGTCTAGAAATATACGAACCTGTAGAATTTTAAAACTTCGTGAAACAATAATGTACGAGATCCCTCCTGAATATCCAACGTTGTGGCTGTAGCGTGCATGAGACAAAGATCGTGTACTCAATGAAGAAAAGAATGATACCTATTGTTCCACGTTGGAAGTACTACCTGAAGAAGCTTTTTCTTCTAAGCTTTGAATCACTTGTCGGAGATGAAGATATTCTTTTCCCTTTCTTCCCTCAGAAATTGTTCTTTCCCAACTTTTCACAAAAATTCCAGCTAAAAAGGTTTCGTTCCTCTTAACATGGTACCCTCACATCCCTGCATATAAATTAAAACGCGTCCACATCGTACGAGGCAGAAAAAACCAACATTATCTTCTATATCTAGCTTTCAAAACCTTGAATTTTACCTTCTCAGAACATCTGTGTTGAAATGGCTTACTTACCGGCATTAAAGCGCACAGATTCTGTGACAGAGAGCATGCCTGATGCACTGAGGCAGAGCCGGTACTACATGAAGAGGTGTTTTGCTAGGTACCTTGAGCAGGGCAAAAGGATCATGAAACCTCAACATTTGATGGAAGAAATGGAGCTGGTCATTGATGACATAAGCGAAAGAAACGAAGTGATGGATGGCTTCCTTGGCCCCATTCTGAGATCCACACAGGTTTAAGTCCTCTCAATTTGAAATCACTTGTTGTGCATATTATGTGACATTGTGTCTTTGAAGACGGCATGGCTGGTCATTGATTTGTTCTGCCGCGAAACTTGCAGGAAGCTGTTGTTTATCCACCATATGTTGCTTTTGCGGTGAGGCCAAATCAAGCATTCTGGGAATTTGTAAAAGTGAGTTCTTTGGATCTCTCTGTTGAGAGCATCTCCTCCCTTGATTACTTGAAACTCAAGGAAATGGTGTATGACGAAAATTGGTAGGTTTTTTTCCCCTTATCTTCTCTTTATGATTTCCTGATCATGATTCTTTTTTTGGGTCTTTGAAAAAGAGAAAAAAGAATGCTGTTACCCGCTGCAAGACATATGCTCGAAGTCTGTGTTGATAACTATCACTGATCTTATTTTGTAGGGCAAATGATGAAAATGCATTAGAAGCTGATTTTGTAGCATTCGATAGCAAAATCCCTCATTTTGCACACCCCTCTTCAATTGGAAATGGACTCAGCTTTGTTACCAAGATCTTATCATCGAAGTTGAGTGGGAAAGCGACGAAGACACAGACCCTAGTTAACCACTTGCTAGCACTGAATTATCGAGGAGAAGTAAGAGCAAGAGCATGAGCCATGAGATTAACTGAATTCATAAAACATTTTTCCTTACAGAATTTTTAGGGCAGGTGTTCATTTTCCTTGTGTAATCTAAATTGGCAGAGTTTATTGATAAATGAAAAGCTGGGTTCTGCAACAAGTCTTCAGCTGGCATTAGTAGGGGCTGATACATTCCTCTCATCACTTCCTATGGACACTCCATATGAAAGTTTTGAGCCACAGTAAGTCTTTTATTATCCTATTGAAAAGACACAAGATGGCATAAATTTTTTATTCATAATTTATTAGAGGGTTTGAACATCTGACACTACTCATATTCCTATCTCACCCGTATCACTCTGACTATTCGTAATTCGCAAGTGGTCTGGATATTGTAATCTAACATCAATGTAATATTTTCATAGGTTCAAAGAGAAGGGCTTTGAGAGAGGTTGGGGAGATACCGCAGGAAGAGTGAGGGAGACGATGAGAATCCTAGCAGAAGCACTACAAGCACCAGACCCGGTGAACCTGGAGAAGTTTTTTAGCCGTATTCCCACTATTTTCAATATAGCTATATTCTCTATTCATGGTTATTTTGGGCAAGAAGATGTTCTTGGCTTGCCAGACACAGGAGGCCAGGTAAGAAATTAGCTTTACCACAGTTTATTAGATTTAGAGGGAATGGGATCAAAGTCTTGATCTAAGTCAAGTTTTTAATACGCATATTCTGTTTGTATTTTGAACAGGTAGTATACATATTGGATCAAGTTAGGGCTTTGGAAGACGAAATGCTCCTCCGAATTAGGCAACAAGGGTTAAACATGAAGCCTCAGATTATTGTGGCAAGTTACATAAGCTGCAAAAATTGATGTCATTGAACATGCATAAAGCACATTCTTTAATAGAATAATCAGAGTATATTCTTGATCTTGACAGGTTACAAGGCTCATACCTGATTCACGGGGAACCAAGTGCAATCTGGAGTTAGAGCCTATCAATGATACCAAGCACTCCTTCATTGTACGTGTGCCTTTTCAGACAGACAGAGGGATCCTGCGTCAGTGGGTTTCTCGCTTTGACATTTATCCCTATCTTGAGAGGTTTACTCAGGCACGTGCATTTGTCTGATATTCACTATCTTGTGCTTTTTTCCTTTCAAAGAACCTCTCTTTGACTGCATCTTTTGTTCATACTGATAGGATGCTACATCCAAAATCATGGAATTTATGGAAGGGCCACCGGATCTTGTTCTTGGAAACTACACAGATGGGAATTTGGCAGCATCTCTGATGGCCAATAAACATAATATAACTCTGGTCTGGTCACCATCCCTTTATTAAAGTTTCACTCTCAAACTGTTTTTCTGGCTTTCAGAATGTCGTCTTCATCATATGTACTGATTCCTCAGCTTCCTCGAAAATCAGGGAACAATAGCACATGCTTTAGAGAAGACTAAGTATGAAGATTCAGATGTCAAGTGGAGGGAGTTTGATGCAAAGTACCATTTCTCATGCCAATTCATGGCTGATACAGTTGCCATGAATGCAGCAGATTTTATCATAACCAGCACATACCAAGAAATTGCAGGAAGGTTAGCTCACTAGCTTTGTACATTTACATCAACGAACAAGTAATCATTCGTAGCCATGTTGTTTAATTTGAAGTTTTGTTTTGCATACACAAAAGAACACACCGATATATTAGTAGGTAGGGCGCATAAAACTAATGCCCATACGAGTAAGTTTGTAATATACTGAATTGTGAAAGTTCTTGTTTGCAGCCAATCTAGACGTGGACAGTACGAAAGTCATATTGCATTTACACTCCCAGGATTGTGCAGGGTTGTTGGAGGGATAAATCTATATGATCCCAAGTTCAACATAGCTGCACCTGGGGCTGACCAGTCTGTCTATTTCCCTCACACACACAGAGACAGAAGACTCACTCAATTTCACCCAGCCATTGAAAACTTGTTGTATGGTAAATCAGAAACCAGTGAGCATATGTAAGTAATTTGGACACCATTCCTACATAGTTATTGTTCAGATTATCGCATATGATATGACTCACTATGTTATTTCAAATAACCTCTTTTTTGTTCTGAATTTCTAAAAACAATGCAAAAACAGTGGGTATCTAGTAGACAGGAGAAAACCCATCCTCTTTTCAATGGCAAGGCTGGATGCGGTAAAGAACTTAACTGGGCTAGTTGAGTGGTATGGAAGGAGCAGGAGACTGAGAAACTTAGCGAACCTTGTCATAGTTGGAGGCTTCTTTGACCCTTTGAAATCCAAAGATAGAGAAGAAAGGCAAGAAATAACCAAGATGCTGAGTTTGATAGAGAAATACCAAGTAAGAGGCCAATTCAGATGGATTGCTGCACAGACCGATAGGTATCGCAATGGAGAGCTCTATCGCTGCATTGCTGACACAAAGGGAGCTTTCGTTCAACCTGCATTATATGAAGCATTCGGTCTTACGGTCATTGAAGCAATGAACTGCGGATTACCCACCTTTGCTACTAATCAAGGAGGTCCAGCAGAAATCATCGTCGACGGGGTTTCTGGGTTTCTCATCGATCCCCTCAATGGGAACGAATCAAGCAACAAAATTGCTGATTTTTTTGAAAAATGCAGAGTAGATCCAACACAATGGAGCAGGATTTCTGAGTATGGATTACAGCGGATCAATGAATGGTAAACATTAAATAAGATCTCTCATTTCTTGTGCATCCGCAATGACTAGATGGTTAAAACTTGTGTGTTTGATTTCGTAGTTATACTTGGAAAATCTATGCAAACAAGTTGCTGAATATGGGAAGCATTTACACCCTGTGGAGGCAAATGCACAAGGAGGACAAAATGGCGAAGCAGAGATACATCAACACATTCTATAATCTTATATTCAAAAAACTGGTAAGGCCAATCGAATTACTCCTGAAAGAGTGAACTTGTTATGCAATGAAATTCTGAAATGGAAATCTCAATGTCACAGGCCACGTCGGTGCCTATTGCAAGTGATGAACCTCCACAGCCAACGTACAGGCAGGCCGTCACCCAACGACCAAGGCAAGTATCTAGAGAATTTCATTGATTATTAAAGAAGTTAGAACAATTATGATTTCTTTCTTTCTTTGAAAAACGTGGTTGCTCTCATCATTGATCTAATATATAAATTTTGTTTTTGCGCACAGACGTTCCCAGTCCAAATTTGAAAGGTTAGAACAAAAGAAAATGAGTTTTTTTTTTGGGTTAGCTTAGATTTACAGCTGAGCAACAACTTGATTAATTTGGCCCTCTTTTCAGGTTCTTTCGGTTTTAATGGTCTGAGCAACACAATCTGCAGCATCACAGAAGAGATTGAAGAAAGCCTTGTCACGCTATATATTTGTGTTGGGCCAGATTTATATGCCCTTTTACATATTTTTTTAATAAAAAATTATGAGCTTTGTATGTGTTGTGTTGCAAGATAGCAACTACTTTAAGTTATGAATAAAATGTGATTTGTTTGAAAAGACTTTCTCGATGACTTTATTTATTTATTTCCGGGGAGGAGTTAATAATAGACAAGCAAGGTTCTCAGGAGTCAAGATTCGAGGAAAAGTTGAACCGTTGGAAATTTGCGTCGTAGGGGAAAAAAACGTTGATGCAAATAATAACAATAACAGTGGGTAGTTATCTGGACATTGGACATTTTAATCTTTCGAATGAATAAAAATAACACTAGTTTTGATTCTTAATGTAAGAGCTGCTTACTTGATTTGATTAAATTAAAAAAATTACTTAAATTAGTTATTTATAACAAATATAATTTTCTTTGAGTACTCATGATTATCTTTCGATGGGAATTTCTTGACATATCTAATAAACAAGAATAGTTTAAAAAATGAATTATAAATTCAGAAGAACAAAATATATTAAGGTTTTATATGTAGAACTAAATTCAATCTCCAATAAATAGACCTAGTAGTTGCCATTAAAAAACATCGTGACTTTTATAGCGAAGGATAGAAAAATAGTTCACTATTGTCATGTGATTGAGGAAACAATGTCACATTCTCGGCATATTCTGTTATAAGTGCAAATAATAACATTAACAAAAAAGGGTATAGATCATATAGTTTGCAAATCGGCTGGCAAAAAAAAAAATGGCAAATCGAATTTGAAAAAGAATAGTATTAAACCAAAAAGACCTATATTTGAAGCAGAAACACAGTCAACCGCAGGCTACTATTTGAGGCTCCATTGCAGTGGATGGATCCCTCTCACACGTTTCAGAACCAATATCTGAAGGTTCTTCTCCCTGCAGGATGATGTGAAGAATTGAGGACTAGAAAACAAAAGGAACGAGAAAAAGAAATTCACATGTCACAGTTTATTGAAATTTGAATGAATCATAAAAAATTTACCTTTGCAATATTCCTGAAGTATGTTGTGTTGTAATTTCCAGTGGGAAATAAAACTTCAATAAGATCGGCTAGTACCAACTGAGGTTGAGAGACTGCCCCATTGAACCAGTCTTCGCACGTAGAAGATCATACACACAAAATTTGATACGACAATTAGATTTCTACTTTCTTTATGCACGCGTATATGAGAAAATTCAAATTTATGGCGCTTAAAATTAACTAGGGTAGTTAATGCAATTGAAGTGAAGAAGCATGATAGACTTACAACTGTAATGGATTATATATGACAAATGAAAAGAAAAAAAAATACCAAGAGTTGTACTATTCTGAATCCTTTTGTCATATCTCCATAAGCTTGTATTTGAGAGAAAGGAGAAACAGGAATGGTCTTCAACTTTCAAATTTTGGAGAAATGCTGATACATTATAGTTGAATGGATCAAAAGTTAATGTTTCGTCAATTACCACTTCCACAGTCTGCATCAAGAAATAAGATTTTATAAATTGTTGACACGCTCAAATAAAAGGCAAATTGAATAGAAAAAAATAATTCAAGAATTAAGAATACGAAATCATATGTGCTACAGATATGAACTAAATTCACTTTCTGAGAATTAATTCTCCAGAAAGGAGCAGATGAACGCAATTCAGTCAAAGGAACAAATGGATAAATAGTCGGCACGTTGTTGAAATTAAAACAATAGCAAGAGGAGTACAAAATGAATATAATAAAGAATCTTGATGTCAAAATTCGTAAGGGTAGGACATCCAAAATTTATCCAAAATGCATTGGAGGACATAAAATTTATCCAGGCCTAATTATGTATAACTTCAGATTCAACTAAGTAGACAGGAAAATTTGATTACAGGTTTTAATACATCTTAAGTTAACTGCAGCAACTTACACATAAGATGGCATGCAGTTCCTCCAGATCATCAGGATCAGAGACATTATAAGAATTCTTGTTTGCATTAAGCTTTTCTCCACCTGCATCTTCCATGTACTGCTTGCAGAGTCGGTGTGCAAAGTAAGGGAAGAGTTAATATGATGCTAACGATGTTATGTCTCTGTTCAGAGCCATCATCTCATTCTCTAACTGCTATGCTAATTATCTATAGTTCTCTTCATACCTTCATCTTATATGCGTTCTTTGAAAAAACCCAAGCGCCCTGCAAAACGAATATATATGAGTCCAGAAAAATTAAAAGAAAAAAAAAGAATGGGAATGATTAGGACATAAATAATACTCGAAACGAGTCAGAGCTTCTGGGGATACATACATCAGAATACTTCATCCATGCTACGATTGGTTTAAAGGAAGTTCGATTGTTTTTTATGTTAGCCAAGCACTGATAGTTCTCCTTAATCTGTACAACAACAAATATTTGGTTGTTAGTAGTTATCAGAAAATTCAATCACTTACAACATTTGCATGAATAACTCTGCAAAAATGATAGAGAAATTTCTAAATGCAACAACAAAATGAGACCCAAAAACCTTCAAGTATAGAAAAACTTGGAAATCCTTGTGCTTTGATTTTACAGTCCAGCAGAGTATGAGGTGTCCGTCTTCCATTGGACTTAGAAACAGAGAAAAATAATTTTTTTGAAGAGAAACAAGAACCTCCACAGATTTTAAACTTAGTTACCTTTGAATACACTTGATTGGCTCTAACTTCTTCATTTGCATATGCTCCCATGAATTTGATCCATTCTGCCCTCTAAAATGGTACATATACCAAGTAGTTGATCAGTAAGAGCACAGGAATTCATTACTGCCATAAATTCATAGATTAATATTTAACAATAAGAATAATAATGTGTGAGCACTTAATGTGAATGCGATGGTTTTCGGGGTCTTTACGGAGTAATGTTCACTTGTTCCTTACCTGCAAAGGAGCGTCCTCTGAAAAAGGGACAAAAGTCACAAAATTGCATAATGGTTGTTGATCAGCATCACTAGAGAAATGAGCTGAAAACTGTGCAAGCTTTTCTTCATCAGTCTTGTTGAACATTTCTATTTGACCATCTTGGTATAATTTCAGAACGCATTGAGAAGCCACCGAGTCTGATGTTATGCCTTTCAAGCTCCCTAGCAAACCTAGAAGCTATTCATGACATAAAAGTGGAGGGAAGATAAGAAGGCCAAGCATCTATGCTAGTAAGACACTTCCATCTTAACAATTAAATCCCAAGAAGGCTGAAGAACCAGAGAATCCTACCTCTAAGAAGGAAACTGGAATTCCAACCCAAGGAGGCAAAAGGAGGAAAAAAGAAAACGTCATTATTTTTCTAGTGAAAAGAAAATTACTCGTGATGTTATGCCGTAGCAAACTAAATTCAGAGAAAAGTAGAGAAAGCAGAGAGGCAGGGATTTGCATAGCATGGATTACCTGGAAATGAATCAGTGTCAACTGAATAGTTTGACAATGGAATTACAAATGATTTGATTCTTGATGTGCAATACTTGGTTCTTGATGCCATTCTTGTATTATTCTGCCAGCGAGAAATTTTCTCAATGGAATTATTAACATATGAAAAGTATTGAACTTCTAGAATGAGCTTCCCATAAGTGGGCAATCTTCGTTTTGACTGCCAAATTGCCAAGGGAGAACAAGATATCTTCTTTGCATATTTTGAATTGTAAAGAAGAAAAAAATTATCCACTTTTCCAAAGTTTTGTCCCCTAATTATTTTTCAAAGAGGAGCCTAGTAGCTTAGAAGTCAGTACTAAACCCCACCGCCATTGCTCGTACCTCCGTTGCTCATTACAGATAGAGAACATGGAAGAGAGTATACCTGGAGAAGAAGGTAGCTGTGGGCATCAAGAGCATTCTTTATGACTTTGAAGGTCTCGCCATAGTATATATGGAAGTTCACAGCATCTTCCACCTTCGAGAAGTTTCCCACTTTCACCATGCTTACCTCCGCAACGCCTTCCCATTTCAATGAACAGGCCAATTCCAGTAGGAGGAATGAGAAGAAGATTCGCAGAGCGCAAGAAGCAGCAGCTGAAGCCATAAGCTCGCCAAAACAGGGTAATTCTTTTTGGGTTTAAGCCTAAACAGGGTTCTCCTGCTGCTACGTAAGTGATGAACTTCTTTATTTAAATGGTGCCCATTATTTTTACGGCGTAGGTAAAACTTAAAAGGGATAAAGCGCCTCAACTTTTTAAGCACTAATAATCATTAATCAGCTATTTAGAGAAACAAGAGAGAGAAATAGAACAGCTTTATTGGCTGATTTGGTAATTAGGCTTGCTGGTGGCAATGAGAGCACTTTTTCTTGGCATTAATTAGCAAGAATAGGAGAGAAACAGTTAAGTGGCTCGTGACTCCGGCATGGATCATTTTGTCATCTTCTTTCCAACATGTTATCTTTTTCTTTTCATTGAAGCCCTGAATCAAACATGTGCCGTGCACTCACCATAGCCCAACCTAACCGCCACATTCACGCCTTGCTTTCACCATAGGCAAAAAGGCTTTCCAGGACCTATCCTGTCAAACGAGAAGAAACATATAGTTCAGGACAGATAATAATGGAATGGGCATGTACCGTTGAATGCGGGGGACAAAATTCGAAATGGGACAGTGTCAAACCAGGCATTTGGCGGAGACATGAAGTTCATATGCAGTTATAAATTATCGGAAGAAAGTGAGTTTGTGATCTTGCCTTCTCATGAAGCATTTGGACTCTCGTGATAGCTTCCCTTTCGGAATCATCTCGAAATTAAAATGATTATATTTTCCTCAGATCTGCAACATCTCAGGAGGGGACACACAATGTGATTTCTCAAGCTGTTTTATGTACTGCTCTACAATATTCAACGCATCATCACCTTATCATGACTCAGATTTAGTCAACATTTAAGATTAAAAATTAAAAACATGACAGTATTATTGGGAAACTCGTAGTCATACCTGCACCGACTTTTTCCCTCTCTGTTTTTCTACCCCCTTTTTTCTCTGGCAGACCACCGTGATTATTTAATTACCATAACAAAAATGCTTTCAGTTTTTACGCGCGCATTTTGTTTAAATTTAAATGACATGGTATCAAGAAGAAATAATATTTTATTTTCTTTAAATCCTATAAAACTCGGTAAATACGTGTGCAGATGAATTAAAATTCCAAAAAATTGCTCAAAGCCCTTAAAAACCGGCCACCTCTCTTAACAAGAATTTGATTAGAATTTTAATTCATTATTTTGTGAGAAATTAGCTTTTTCTACTAAACACAATTTCTGTTGGTGAGATCATTTGCATTACACTATTAACACAGAGCTGTAAAAGGCCTGCCCAATTCCAAGCTGTAAAATGATTTAACAGTATAACTATGTGAGAAAAATTTTATTTTCATTCACGTAAAACAAAGTTTTTTAATCGATTTTAGGATATTCCAAACACTCCCTTAATCTGTTACTTGAGGAACTATTATTAATTTACTATTTTCTTCGATATTTAATGTAAAATTTATTTAATTAAAATTTAAGTAGATTAAAAAATTTAGTTAAATTAATTATTTGTAAGAAGTTTGTATTAGTTTTCCTAAAATACTTATTTAATTGAAAAATAGCTTTAACAATAGAAACTTCTTTTAATATGTACAATTTTTAAGAAAACTTTTTTACATTTAAAAAATATTTTTAACAAAAGTCATCAATTTTCTCCTCACAAACGTTGTCTTGGATTTTTGTGTCAACTATGAAAAGTTAAAGACAAATGTGATAGCTGCGTCACTGCGTGTTTATAAAAGAAATAATTAATCTTCGGGATCTTATAGTTTTTTATGACTTTTAATCAGGTTCCTAAAAATTTTTCTTTTTATCAGATCATTTTACTTTAACATGTTTTTAATCAGGTCCCTCCATTTTTCTTTTTTATCAGGTCCTTATAGTTTTACTTTTTTTTTAATTAGGTCCTTTGTAGTTTTAAAAAAATTATTTATTAACTTTATTCTTTAAAATTAATTTTATTTTTAAATTAATAATTATATAATTGGACAAAATGATTAATATAATCATCTAGTAATTAATAATTAATCAGAATAATCAATTATACCTAACTAAAAATTATTTATAATTATGTTCTAGTTTTGGAAAATTTTATTATCATAATTTGAAATTTATAGTTATAAAAATTAGAATTGAAAAATAAACAATATATATGTTTAACTAAAAATTTAAAAGAATATTAACATAAGATTATTATAATAATTTATTATTTATAGAATAAAAAAAATACAAGGACCTAATTAAAAATAAGGTAAAACAATAAGGACCTGATAAAAAAAAATTATAAGGACCTAATTGAAAACATGTGAAATTATAAGGATCTGATTAAAAATAAGTTGAAACTTTGCAAATTAATTATTCTTTTATAAAATAGTAAAATTATTGAAAGACAAACTCAAGGAAAAAAGGAAAAAAAAAAGTAATTTTATTTGCTAAACTCAAGGTTAGTTAAATACTAATACTTACCCTAGTATGCATCTAAACATCTTTTCATGATAAAGCAGACAAAAATCAAATGCTACCTCTGGTCATAATTATAAGAGTCAATTGACTAATTTGAAGAGATTAAGAAAGTAAGTTAAGTTAGTTATTTGTCCTAAATAGGTGTTGTCTTTACTAAAATATCCTTGCTAATCAAATGTATTGACTAAAACTATAATTGTTAGAAGGGTTACTTTGAAAAAAATATATAAATATGAGAGACAAAGTGGATTGGGGTCTTATATTTAGGACCAAAATAAAAATCAAACAGGGTCTTATATTAAGGACCGGAGGTAGTAGTATAAACTAAGGATAGCTAAATCAATCCAATTTAACCTTAAACCTGATCGAAGTCAACCTCAAACTATCTAGAAAACATCTAAAGAAACAAATGACAACCTACGAACCCTAAATATGAACGAGTAAATAACTAATTAAAGATCATTTGAATAATCACTAATCGGACTCATAAACTATTCAACTAGTTAAATGAAAAGCCCAATTAAATTAGCTTAACTTCCTGTGGTGATGGGCCTGATTGGGCCACATGCTGTGATGATGGCCACGCGCATTGGTACAGGGATTAAATACTGATTACCAACAAGAGTTGGTCTGATTAATCGACTCATAACTCACAAAATCTGTCCTGGTCTTGATGAGCTTTCGGGACCCAACTCACATAAGCTTTTATTTACCAAAAACAAATGCTGACTGGGCTTTGGTACAAAAAAAACCTCACAGCGTGTTCTATTTTTAAAATTGTCTGAAAAAAAGCAACTCAAATAAATATGATATTATTATCTGAAAATGGAAATAATTACTAAAAAGTAACAATTATTTACAAATTAAATATACATCTATGAGTACGTAAATTAGTTGGGTCTATGACTATACGTGTATAGCTTTCGTCATAAACAAAACATTGATTCTAAAACAAAAGTGTCAGTGAACTTTTCATTATTATATATCGATGTTTGAATGCAATTAATTAATTCTTAACCATCAAATTAGATAACGAATGTGTCAAAATAAAATAGATACAAGTATATTTGGATAATCGATGCCCTGCTAGCTTAATTAATGGGGACAAGCCCAATTGGAGCTGTCCGTTGAATCAAATCTTGAGGTTAGAGACAAACGGAAAACAAAAAAGGGCAAGAAGTTAAACTAGAGGAGATGAAGGGTTAATGAACTATGATGAGGTTAGCCCACATGGTACAAAGAGCAAAAGAAACTGTGAGAAAAATGCCTATCTTCTTCAACACCACACTGAATCCTTCCCCACTTTTGATGCTCACAAACCAAACTTCTTCCTTCTCATTGTCCCCCTTGATTTTCTCATCATCTTCATCAGATTCTCTCATTCTCTTCAAGCTGCTATTACAATTATTAGCTGTACCACTCCAACTTCTCTCCTTCACATCCTGATCGGAATCCGAATAATAGATACAGTGCATCAGCAAAAGCGAAAATATGAGTACGATGGGACTTGTTATTGTCTTCACACAGGCCTTCAGGTTTCTGAATAAAGAAACTGTAGTCTCTATGTTCTCCACTGATGAGTGATAATTGTTAGCCATTATCACTGGATTGAGGTGAACCTTGAGGGTTTGTGAAGGAACAATTTGGTGAAAGAATGTGTCAGCTACTTGTCTTGTGGACATTAACATTCCATGGCTGACTTTGACTTCTTCGACCACCTCAAAGCTTGGAGAACTCGAATAATTGCCTTCTTCATCTATCAAGTTCTCATTATTAGCGTCATCCTCGTTGATGAACCCTAATGAGATGTCGTTTATGTCAGTGTCATCGAGTTCCTTGCTGCTATTTTCTTGCTGATTACCACATTCTGCAGCATGATGTAGAAAAGCTCTTATTATTTTCTTCAAGATAAGGGACAAATAGAGACAGGACCGACATCGTTCTTTGATGTCAGGAGGTGTGAGACATCCAAAAATAAGTTGACACTGTTCTTATTGTTCTTTTATTAATCGTTTCTTGGTATTATTATATACTCCTCATCAGAATCCGAGTTATCCAAACAAAAGATAGTGAACAGACAATTTTTAGTTTCTTAATTAAATACCGCAATATACCTTGTAATATATTGATTATGATATTCAAAATATGAGTCAGAATTTTCAATACCTTGCAGCGCTTCATTACCCTCCCTGTTTGCTCGGAAACTTGAAATATCCTCAATTGGAACAATTTTCTGATCTTCCATATAGCCCTATAACAAGATTAGGAAAATATAATCATTAACTACTCTTCTTTCTGTCGACAGTCATTCATTAGCTAGTAACGCCTTACTTAGAAACAACAGAAAAAATAAAATTTTTGCCTCTAAATTAATTAGGACCCAAATTAATAGGTATCTCTGATATGAGCTTGGAAAGGAATTGTACATTATTTATTTATTTTACTATAATGTGATTATTCCCTTTTTTATAATGCTCCATAGTTTCGATATATTTGTATACACTAGACCCATCCTAATTACTAATTAGTATTAGCATTAATATCGAATCTCCAGTGCCGCGTATATATAGAAGTACAAAACCATACCTTAATTTCCAAATCCTTGCTTGACATGCCAACCCATCTTAAATTCTCAACGAGCCTCCCTGCTTTGAAATCATCATCTAGATCTCCAATCTCTATCGACCTAGTGTTTACTGGATCTTCCCAGCAGGCACTGTTATAGTAGTTACAATCATTAGCAGAACTATCTCTGCCAACCATGAAAGTGAAATCATCTTGTTCAGAGGGAGCATAATGCTGGTTTGCAGTACTAGTAGTACCCCATGCGTGAGAAGAATAGCTAGAAGGCTGGTTTATGAGTTCCTGAGAGGCATGAGCAACTGAAAGAATCTCCTGTAATAATTCATCAGTTTCATTTTTAGTTCCACCATGTTGTGGTTGCATCTTCAGTTCAGAAGGAAAGTCCTCCATCGGAGAAAACCTATGCTGCATCCTGGCACATTCTAGTGCAATATCCACCTGCAATATAATTCACAAGACTGTTTATAAATGTACGTAGATCACATGATAAAATATTTGTACTATATATACCTTCGAAGGAGGGTATGGTATGGAGCCATAGTTGGAAAATAATGAAGAAGAATTTGGAAGAGAGAATGGATCTTCAGGTAAGAACTGTGTCTGTGACCATTTCCCATGATCTCTTGGTCCTGAAGGGGGATTATTTCCAATATGGGGTGAGCTATGATCCAGAGGCATCAAATAATCTGAGCTCTCGAAATCTTCTCCTGATTTTCCTTCAGAGTATAGTTCAATGCTGGATGACTGATCACTTGTATTCATAATCTGATTCCCATAATGCTCTCCGATTTTCGTAGTTATAACTGCAGTCTTCTTGAACACACGACATAGAGCATAAGCATCCTGCATTTAATATTTTTTTCCCCAACAAATCAAAAGTACTGTGTCAGCTATCAATACCAGAATCTAAGTTCTTTGAGTGGAGAAGAAGAATGGAATTGTTTGAAAGAAAATGATAGAGGAATAAAAAGATATGAATATACAGAGAAGAGGTGAACCTGAACGCCAGAAGCAACTTCACATTCTCTTTCGTCAAGTCGATACTCATGCATAACCCAGTTGGTACGACATCCATGAGGGGCCCGACCTCGATAGTAAACTAGGGTTTTCTTCATACCCACCGAACGAGATTGAGAATTCACTTTCCTATCTTTCCCTGTGGCTTTCCAATATCCCGATTTGGTGGCTCGATTTGTTCTTGAGCCATTTGGGTACTTCCTATCACGAGGACTGAAGAAATACCACTCCAAATCTTTTCCCGGCAATAACGATTTTCCTGTATAACAATAACCATCGGATCGATTTTGGTTAATACTGACAATCATTCAAAGATGCTTGATTCATCATAAGTTTTGATGTTCTAATTTCTGTGATGATTTGTCTGCGTATATATTAATATCTGTATGTGAGGAAAAGAACGTAATACTTATATTAGTGAAGAAATTGACCGAGACAAGAAATATCTTGCAGATAGAGTACGCTCTGCTCCCCCCCCCCCTTTCTTTTGGGTTAGCTGATTTCTTTTTGACTTGGTGAGGAATCCCATAATTGGCTTATTTACGACTAGTCTTGACGTTCAATACAGGAACCCTAAAAGTGATGAAGGGACCATCCTGTAGAACCCTAAGCACGACACGGTCCTTTAGGCTATAAAGATAAACCTAGATCACATCACCAGGATCAGATATTTTATATGTTAAACCCCCAAAACTATACTTGACCAATAAAGCAAGCATGTGTTTCATATCAAAGCTACAGCATATAAGCAAATATGTACTGTCTTAATTAAACTCTAAAGAAGCTTTCAAATCCAAATTCACCAAAAACGACAATATATTTAATATATATACAAGGTAAGTTCTTATGGACCTTAATCATAATTACACATGCATGCATGAGATATCGAAGAACTAAGTAAGCTAATGAACGATAATAGTTACTATAATGATGTTGTAAAGTTTGAGTCAACAGATTGAAAAGTTCATTATTAGAAGCTGACTAAATACGTACCAGGCAAGTCCCAGGGTTCACACTTGTAAAGATCAACTTCGGGGATGATCTCTAACTCAATCTTGTGCCCGTTGATCTTTCTTTTGAGATAATAAGCAACCAGCTCTTCATCTGTAGGGTGGAACCTGAAACCTGGAGGCAGCGAAACAGGTGCCATGTGTGTATACTATGTATAACTATATCTGTGTGTGTGTGTGTGTGTCCAAAGGACGTTATAGTATTACTGCCTAAGGAGGAGGAGGAGGAAGAAGAAGGAGGAGATGCAAACGATATGGAAGAGATGAGATGATGAGAGAAGGATGGGTGGGAGAGGGCGGAATGTGGGGATTGCTTGGGGTTTTAATAAAGAGGACAAAAAGAAAGAGAGAGAGAGAGGAAAGGAAAAGCGAATGAAGCCACCTCTGAGTACTTTTGTCTTTGGATTACTTTTTATTTGTTTTATGATCAAATGGAGGATTCGATTCCCTGTTATCTTTGGTATGAAGCTGAGCCTTGTGCCCCAGATTATCCTATGCTTCTCACCTGTTCCTTCTTGGATTCTGAGCCCCTCTCTGTCTTCTACTTCCACGTGGCCACACATTATTGGCTATATCTCCCGCCTTTTCTGTGAGAGAGAAGGATTTAACTTAACGTGACCCTACTGTAGCAACTCAACTTTGGCGGCTCTTCCTCGCCATTCTTTCACACTCCTTTTTATTTGTCTCTGCTTTTTTCCATTCATCAGTCTCCGGCCATTTTCAATTCCTCCTTGCTCTCTCTCTATCTACTTTCTTTCTTTCTTTCTTTCTTCCACATGGTTGGTTACAAGTTGGCTGAATATTTTGGGACATTTTGGCTGTTTACATATGAGGTTGATGACAGCCAGTTACTTTGATATATGTATATAGTATGATGTTAGATATGTACATAGTTTACGATTCAAAGTATAAGTTTAAGACGGAATATACGCATTGAGTACTATATGCCTCGCTCGCTACTGAAATATTAATGAAGACTTTGAGATTTGATGTGTGTACGTTGCAGTGGGATAGCTAGCAGTACGAATTCATGATCCATAAAAAGTTCTCGGCTACGTAACAAGTAATAACTATAGCATGTGTTAAAACATATTCAAATACTAACCCTAGAAGAAGTAATTTAACTTTTAATTTGATTCTAAATATAAAACCCTAATTTACTTTGTCTCTCATATTTATTTATTTATTTTTAAAGTAGTTTTTGTAGTAGTTGCACATATTAAATATTTAATCAAATGTTAAAGTTAATACACTTAATTAACAAAGATATTTTAAGAAATACAAATCTATTTATTATAAATATTTAAATTAACAAACTTACTTAATATATTCAAATTAATCAACTGACTCTTTTATTAAAGACCGGAGAATAGTATAACTCACTGTGGAAGTGGTTTGTTTGTCTTTACCGCTATCAGATCAACCTCACAACACCTCTTTTTTAAGTTAATGTTAGATAATAAGGGAGAGTTAAGTTGGCAGTCACGTTGCCGATCATAAGGGAAGGGGAGGGTTATGAGATGGACGAAGAGGTGGGACCTCCAAGTGGGGCCAGTTGTAGCCACGTGAGGAAAGCGGGGGAATCCACGTGGCATGGCAGGATGACTTGTGGGGTAACAAATGCTTTTCCGGTGGAAGCCAAACTACCAAATCTCAGTCTCGTGCTTTCCCTTTCATGAATCCATCTTTTTGTGCTTTTCTGCTTTACGAGTTTATGCTCTTTCCTTATTAATTATTTTCTTCTACATACATGCATTTACGCACTAATCGATCAATAAATAAATTCATCTATATATTGATGAGTAACTCATTAATTACATTGAAGCTATTTGTATGTAGACGTTGATGAATTTGATTTATAAGTGCATGTATTAATTTGCCTCTTAAGACCAACCAAGTAAACTAATTAATTAAGCAAAGCCCTTTAATGATATTTAACCATATTAAGGCCTTGCTGTGACAACCGTTGTTTAGAAATTGAAATCAAATACCCAGTGGTCACACTCTCAATGTTCAAGTCTATTTTCTATATGGAAGCGTAACGTACGTAGAGACTCAAACTATAGTTATATATAATTGGATGGATTCTTTTCAGATTGTATTTTTTTTTAATATTTTGTTGGTTCTTTTCTTCAGTAATACCCACGGGGAATAAGGATTACGTCTCAAACAATCTAAATTAGTTATACCTAAAGCATAAATAAATAAATGCAGACTCTATCAAAGACTTGCATAAAATAGCTACACCTAGCTTTAATAAATCCCCGTAGAAGTTTTCTTTTGCTCTTTTTGCATGACTATCCATAAAAATTAAAATTTTCTTATAAAAAAAAGTATTCTTTTTTTTTAAAATCATTGAATCACAAAAATAAACAAACAAAAGAAGCATAGCCCAATAATCCAATGTAGAATATAGCATAATGATTGGCCTTTTTTGTATGTAAGAAAAATATGAATTAAATCCTTACGTGACAGCGAAAGAGAAATGTCGGTGTATTCTCCCGCATACAGAAGTAGCAATACCATATGAACGCATGCAGAATGATTAATTGATTAGAAAGTTTAGAACTTACTAGCAATTATTATTATTGTATATCGTCGTGTAATTTAATAAGAGCTAATATAAAGCATGCTTATTTTGATAGTATTTAATTTATCGCCAACGTATATAAAGTATTTGTTGCCGAAAGGGTTTTGTCATTCGTCTTTTTTCAGTCTGAATGCCTCGTATACCTCGGCATTGCAGGGCCCCACATGGATCATAAGCTTCCACTACAAAATAGACAGGACTATATATATAAATATATATATATATTCTTATTAGAGAATTAAGAAAGAGCACCGCTTTATCTTCAAGTCAAGATGATAAAATTAAGTTATTCCTTCTTTACAGTAACAAAGAAATAAAACTGATTTTATAGAGGCGGCACCGAGAAAAGCTTTATAGTATCGACTAAAGAAGAAAAAGACATTAAGAAACCTATCATGCGTCTTCCTCTAACATGACTGGTATTTCAATCTATGAATCCAAGGTTGAGATCTGGATTCATACATTCTCTGTGAGAGAAGAAAGAAAAAGAAAAAGATTCTTAGATACAAAGAGATCTAATCATGTTGTTGCAGTCAGGCTATCAGTTAGAGACTAGGCTCCCTAACATCATCACCTACCCAGTGTTGTATAGAAAAGCACTGGGAGAGATGAAAGACTAAGTATAGAAACTAGGGCTTATTAGTTATTACACTTGCTTTTGGCTGCTGTTAGTGTATCCTTCGATCCCATAATCACGGCACACTCTTGCTTGATTCTCTTCCCACCACTGCTCTGCTTCTTTTTCAGAGAATCGTTTCCGGCTGCAATCCAATCGTGTTAGTACCCAATTATGATGCTTTTTGTAGTATTACAGGAATAAATCCCTCACATTAACCAGCAAAACAGAAGAAAGACGAAGAAATCTAGTCTAGGCTTTGCCAATGATATTGGGCTCGAGCCTTGTCCTGAAGTAAATCAGAACTTAACAAGTTTTATGACAAGTAACAACCTCACAAAACTCATTAAGGTTAATGTTCCTTTGACCAACCATCATGATGCCTTCACCTTAAGCTACAAGTGTGTGGGCATGTGTGCGCACATGAAAATGCTATGACCAGAAAGTTGCAGTAGCAGAAGTTACCTGAATCTGACTCTTTTAAGGCCAATTTGGCCACATGGTAAGGAAGTGAGAGTGATGTACACACCGGGATCGTACTGTTCTATCCATTCATCATTTGATCCTTTCTTACCATCTAGCTGAGACTGCACTCCACTGGCTAGAGAATCCTCCCTGGATTTACCACCTTGGAAGATTTTGCTTCTACCAAATTTGGATCTTAATTTGTCAGAGAATACTATAGGAGAGTCAGATTGAATGTCTAAGTTGCAATCTTTTGGAGTATCAACATCCGTGAGCACGGATGAAAGATAAGGCACACATTCGTTTACCCCAACCTTTCCTTCTTGTACAGCATCGGCTTTTTCTGATTTTGTTTGAAGCTGCAATTGTTATAAGCGTTTAATGATACTCTGACGAAATTTTCCTCTTGTGATACCATAAAAACTTTAATGATAAATTGTGAACAACATCACAAGAATTTTTATATAAAGCAAAGATATGGATTAATGAAATAGACTCGTCTAATCTTACATTCCTGCACGAAACTAAATCAAGAGAAGAACATAACTCACTTTTGACGTCAAAACTTTTATGACCTCTTTTGCTGCCCTGCATTTAGCAGCTTCCTCCTTCGCCTGCGACATACTCTTCTCAATCTTTTGTTGACATTCTTGTATTATGCAGTTTTGGAGCTTACATTTCTCTTCAAGCTTCCCAGCCTATCACAACATTTCAAATACAAGCAACAGGAAGGGATTATGTTAAGTTTAATATACATACAGACACAAGAAGATGTGATCTCAAATAAGAAAAGAGCACATACAACATGTATCATATTTGTCTAAGCTAAATTAGGGGAAAAAATTTTTAGAAGACCAATGAAACTCTAAGTGAAAAATGTAGGGTTGCTACCATAGCTCTCAGCCTCTGAACTTCTTCTACAAGTACTTTCTCAGACTTTGGCATATCTTTCTCTCCATTAGGGATCCTGGATACTGTAGATTCTAGTCTCAACGGATTAGAAGAAGCTAATTTATTTTTCAATGAAGAAACGTGCATGAAAGAATTTTCTGTACAGTTTGTTTTAAATATATCAGGGCAGGAAACTTTCCCCCATTGTGGCATCCCACCCAACACTGAAGAAAAGTTTTCTACATGTTTCTGGCCTTCTTGTTGATTTTTCCAGTCCTTCCTTCCGCTAGGCATGTTTTTCATGTAGCATGATTGACTGAAAGATGACAGAGGACCTGGTGATACTGCTGTTTCCCCTCCATCTTCTGTCAGATCAGGAAATCTATTCCGGCGCTTCAGTTGCTGCATAGTGGTACAACTTTGCAACTTCGATACCTTAGGTGATTGAGCAATTCCTTGGCATTTATGAAAGCACTGATCACAAACCCGAAAAGCCTTGTTCCTACTCGGGGCTAGAGATGCATTTGTAACTTTGTTAGTGCTACATGAATTACAAAAGAGAAGACCGCAGTTATAGCAGTTATGCTTCTTTCTTCTGAACCCAAATGGAAGCTCACAGCTGCTACAAGCTGACTGGCCAGCAATAGAAACAGCTTTGTGTAAACAAATTGCAGCTGTGAAGCATGACCCACATGCAATACTCTCTATCTGCCTATCTTTTAGAGCCTCAACAAAAGAAGGTGAGTATCTGTCTTTAGTATCACCCAACCCTAACTGCCCATGTGTTCCCTTGCCCCATGTATAGACACTGCCTGCAGATGTCAACACAGCTACATGATATGAACCACATGATATCTGCTTAACAAACTCCTGTTTCAAGTGTCCTTGGACAAGAGTCACGGTCTTATCCTTAGCATGAGAGTTTCCTAGCTGTCCATGCACCTCACTTCCCATGGTAAAAACTTTACCCAAGTTAGTAAGTGCCACAGTCAACACTCTTCCACAAGATACTTGAACAAAGTCATAATCCACAAGTTGTGTAACACATGTTGGTAAAAGCTTCCTTCCATTATCCGCATGTCCGAGCCGCCCACCATCTCCATCACCCCAGGTAAATAGCTTACAAGTGCTGTATCTACATCGGGCAGTCATGATTTCTACAATAGCTGCCGTGTGCCATGATCCACAAGCAACAGACCTCACTCGCTTACCTTTAAGAGACTCAACTTCTTTTGGTTGAGAAATGCTCTGAAGATTGCCATGCCCTAGAATTCCAAAAGTACCATCTCCATATGTAAATAGTCTTCCACAGCAAGAGACAATTGCAGTATGCCATTCCCCACAAGCAATACTAAAAATACGAATTCCATCCAGAGGTCCCGAAAGTTTATGTGGTATCCACTGACTTCTACTTTTGGCATAACCTACAGAATCTGTACAACCACAATCATTTCCCCATGTATATACTACACCAGTGTCTGTCAGAGCACATGTATGATACTCACCACAGGCAACAGACTTTACATGGATCCCATTAAGAGAATCAACAATTTTGGGAGAGCTAACATCAATGTCAATTTTGTGCCCCAGCCTTCCCTCTTTCCCTTGACCCCAGCAGAACACTTCCCCTTGTTTGGTGACTAAGACAGCATGCTTTCCTCCTAAAGCTATATTTTGTACATCAAGCATCATGGTGGATTCCAGTAACTTTGGCAACGTACTATGACCATTATGCTGATTTACAGACCTGTTATTACCACCTCCTACTATCCCTTCACCCCATACCATGACATCCTTCAATATATTGTTTTTTCCTACATGAGAAGAAGTAGGAGGAGGCAGACGCCTATAGGATGAATTCTTCGCATACCCTGTGTCAGCATATATTGAACCATTTTTATTGACAAAATCTGGATCATCATGTGCAGAACCTGGGACTGTAATATCCATTGTGCTCCTAGAATTGTACGGGAAAGACTCTAAAGAATAAATACTATCAGATGCATCCGATAAGCCCTCAGAAAAGCATCTTTCTGAAAGTGAGAAATTAGGACTCGCATGTAAGCTTTGTACCTGCAAATGGAAACAATTTACTGTCATGATTAAATTGATAAAAGGAAACTTCACATCCACATTTTATTTCTGAGAAGTAAATATCATTGTTGATTTAAATTTTTTTTTAAAAAAGTAAAATTTAAGTAATTTAACATGTAAGGAAAGGTCGCAGCTGAAATGCAATTCAGATTTACATAAACATATTAGTGATTCAATTATGAATGCACTGAAGTAGTATTAAATGATATTACTCTGACAATTTAATGGTTAAACTGTTGTGACTTGGCTGTTTATGCCGAACCACATTTAGTTGGAAGCATCAAATGAAAACCAAAAGTACTAAACTGTCAGCACTATTGTGTTTAGATCGAGAAACAAGTTTGTTACATTCCAAAACCATAGAAATCAAAATTTTCAATCATTTGAAGAGTAATGGAGATTTTTCCCTATGATCAAGGAATGATCAGTTTTATTTTACCAAATATGCCTTCTTTCAAAGGGAGGACAAGAACTTACGAATTATAAAACAAAAGAAAAAATTAATAAAGCAGGAGGCATATGAAACCTGAGAAAATTCAACAGTCTCCTGCAGGAGACCAAGATTTTTCTTTCTCCGAAATATCCCAGCTGGACTATTTACACAACTCTGCACTCCTTTACGGGTTCTTAAACTACTTAACGGTCTTGAATGCTGTGGCCTAGACATCACAGCTCTCAATCCCACTAACCAAGAGGTAGCCTGTGCTTTGTCCTTGCATATCTAGATTAAAAATAAATAGAGATTTGAAGCAATAAATATTAGGAAGAAGAATTTCAGGGAAAAAAGTCGCCAAATAAGCATACTTAAGGAACAAACAAATCTTACCAAATCAAGTGAGCGTTCACCATTTGCATAGATTAGTGAAAATGAATGGCAGTCTTTTTCAGGTTGGCTTTGTCTCTGGGACCTTATCTGAAAAGGGGGAATCATTTGTTAGGCCAAAACAAAATTTTACATTTTTTTTTTCATTTCTACTCTAATCTTCAGTCTTGTGTCGACAATGTGAAAAGTCATGGATGTTTGTGACGCACATTTCCCTGCTCTTGAACAATTCTTGTGACTTCACTCAGTTGCAAATGCTTTTCTTTTTGCCCAGAACACCAAATCAAAGTTTTCTCATCCTGGAATAAGAGGGAAAGGGGCCAACTATCAGTGATTTTATTGTAATGCACAGAAGAAATCAGACAGATAGACAGAACTTGAATGAGGGAGACCCAGTTTATTTTCCACAACCAGAAGTATTTTAATAATTTTTGCTACTACACCAAATACTAAAGGCGGCAGGGTGGACAGAGCTAGTACCCAGCTGCTTACAAACTGCCAAGTTACTTTGGTTATATGGAAATACTTCTGGAAAAGTTATGTACAAGTGCAAAGAGTTTGACTGAGTTAACGCAACAGAAGTAAATTGACAAATTCATACCAGTTATCTTTTTTGTAGATTACAAATTCATAGGCAGCATCGCACCAATTAAAAACCAAGTGAAAACAGAACATTTGCACAGTTATCATAGCAACTTAATTTGGACAGTTCATGATTGAGATCAATGTATAGATATCAATAGAAGTCCATAGACAATTACTTTATATGCATTGTGAGTAATCAAAGTAATCCTTAAAATACATTCCATCTCATATATGCTTACTGGAGAAAGTCTAAAAAGGCAGAGCTTGGGTTTTCCTCTATGTCCACACTTCAGTAAGTATGCACCTTTCTTTATAGATACAATTGCCTGAACAGAGTTAAAACTCAGATTATCAGTTCTCTGAAAGGAGGGCCAATTCTCTCAATGATAAAAAAACACTCGAGAAAAAACTACCAAATCTAGATTCCAGATATCAGACATAGTGAAAATTCCTCAACATGAAAATGCTTGCAGATTAACTTCCATGCTGATCTGACCAGTAGAAGCACGCGCACCAACATGTATCTTAAGTGTGCAAGGACGCATGAAAAGAAAAGAGCGAAATAACATCTTGAGCACACTAACATGTGTACGAAGATTCTGATGGTGGAAGAAAACAGATTTCAGAAGAAAATTACATGAACCTCAAGGCGATGCATTCCATCATATGTAGTATAAAAACTCAATTAGGGAAACAATGAATAGAAAAACAAAGCTTCTTATCAATTTCACAAAACATAGGAAAATTCAATGCACCAGCATATGTAGATTTATAGAACCATCGATAACAGTCAGCTGGACAAGACACTAATAGATTTTAGGCATCAAATAGTTGCCTTCTAGCGATTCATATATATATATATATATATGGTGCTGGTGGAAGGAAACTGGCCACTAATTCCTGTAGTTTTTCTGGTTTCGAGAGTAGGAAATAAAAAACATCGAAAATCGATTTACAACGAGAACGCAACAATTCCACACACTGACGCCAGACTGATAAATACGAGGAGCTCCTGTGTTGGAAAAGCAACAAACTGGAGAAAGAACTGATAATAGTAAACCGACAACAATTTCAGAAATCCAGATCGTTTCATTGCGAGGAAATGATCGAATGCTTCACAAAGAAGATATGACGAGCGTAAGCGAAAAGTTCTGAATTTTGCAATGAAACCCAGTAATCAACTTTCAAAATCGGCACCCTCATTATAGTCCGGGCATATTGCAGAGAAAAATAGACTATACACATATCGCCAAACAACAACGAGCGCAAGGATGAATACGCCTCAAGCCTTGAACAATAACGCCAATGAAACCGAAAAAGATAAAAACCGCAGCGATTCACAACTTGGACGCAGCAGAGAAGAAACAAAGAAGAGAACTTGCTGAAACTAGTGGGATCATCATTTCAAAATTTTTTGTAAAGCGAGCTAGACAAACAGAATTGCTTCGGAAATACGAGACCTGTTCGACAGCTCTATCAAATGGGAATGCTGCAAAGGACTCGGCGTCACCCATTGTCATAATTGTAGTTCCATGGAAGAGAGAATGGCAGACAAAGGGAACAACATAAGAGGTCCTGCGTTTTCCAGCAGGTGGAAAAAAGAAACCTTAATCAATGAGCAGTAAGGATGCTGTACAGGGGAAGAAGACGAAGATGCTTTCTTTGAGCTTTTGCTTATGTCTGACGATGTTTGTCAACAGAGCATAGGAACGTCTTTAAACAGAGCGAAAGAAGGGGCTTGCTCTTCCTTTTATGGGTTCGCTTTGTCTATTAAGCTTCTGGTGTTTGTATCTGTTCCTTCCATTCACTGTCTCTCCACTTCGGAAGTCGTGCTTCGCAGAGAGAGTTCCATGAAAAAAGAAATCATATATATTATGCACGTGTACACCACATCACATGCCATTTTTCTCTTTTTGTGACTTTGGAAGGAAAAGACATTTTTCTCGCTATCGTTTTCATTTCTTTATCATCGCACTATTATTCACGGAACCAGCCTACGACTCGGGAGAAAAAAAAAATCATTTTTTTAGTTTTAAGTGAAAGTGTGAAACTGTTTATTTTCAAAATATTAATTTCCCGTTGGATTAAGTAAAGTAATAATAAAAATTTTGGACCCCCATTTGGATATTGAGCCAAAAATGCAAGCTTTCAATTGTCTTAATTGCCAACCATTTATTGCATTACGGCATCAATGACCACAGTTTTTTGCCCAGCATTGATTCCTTTACCCATAGAAAGAGAGTACAAAAGTTTCCATGTTTGAAACCAATTAATTAATTAAGAATTAAAGCAATAAACTATTGTCAACTTATCAGTATCAAAAATGGTAGACCTTGACTTTACAAAATGAAATGAGCTTAGGATGCTTAGCTCCAATTATTGAGTGATTAAGCAAAAAGTGAAAAAAAATGCTTGTATTGTAATTGTACACTGAAGGCGTTTGAAAGAGAATCAGCCTTTGCATGGACAAAGAAGACAAGAGAGAGAGAGTTGTTAGATGAAAACGGTGAATAATCTGAAGAACTTGAGATGTGTATCAGTAAATTGGGTTTGCTTCCAAAGTTAGGTTCGCCAAAGTCAGATAAACTCTGACAGTATGTGGGCCCACGTCGGTCCCAGAGACAGATCATTTTGATCTTTCAAGTGTTTGGATCTCTTTTTTGTAATTTTGTCGATTTTCGGTCCTTGTGTTTTGTTTATCTGGTTTTGAATCCTGTGTCCTCTGCATGCTCTTAAAACTATTCTGCTTCTTTCCCAAAATTTCTTTTGGAATTTAAGTAGTCCTGCACTGCAACTGCCGGGAACAGAACAGCTATTATTATTATTATTAATTAGTTTTTTGCCCCCAGGCTCTGTATTTTTACATGCCCACTTTATAGATTCTGTATTATTTGCTATCATCTTCCCCCTTATGGATAGGATATCCTTTCCCCTTTCTTTTCTCCTCTTTCTTCCGAATCCCTTCCAGTGAATTGTTATTCATTGTCATGTCCTTCACCCGGCACTTTGCTTTTTTTTTCTTCCCTTTTTTTTTAATTTACAAGATGCCCCTGCCTTAATTATATATTTAAGCTATATAAATTAAGTAATTGACTGGTCAGTCCATGCCTTTCAAATCAAATGAATAGAAGCCTGTCGCCAGTCAATGCCAAAGCATTGGTTTTTTTCCCCCCTCTCTCTTTACTGCTCCAGATTTTTTGGACATACTTTGCTACTTTTTTAATTTGAACTTCTGAATTTTGCAAGGAAAAAAAAAGTATTTTGATTCAAAATATATCATCATCATCATCATCTCAAGCGTTGCGGTAAATGGGGTCAGCTTGTACAATACAATCAGATTTTACTGACTGGATTTCTTGCTGGGCCGGTCTATGTTGCCCGGGGAAAAATATTATTGTTATCTTTTAATTTAAAAAAAACACAGAACTTTCTTTTTCAGAGCATGTGGGGGCATGTCCTTTTGTTTTACCACACAAGAGTATGACAAATTGTAGAAAAAAGAGAAAATTAGAATTTTTTATTTTTAATTATTTGACTTTAAAATAAATATTTTTGTTATTAAAAAACCAAAAAAAAAAATCTCAACCCACGTTAATAGATAAGACTAAAAGAGGATGTGAAAAATAGACTGCTCTTTCATAAGATTGACTAATGGCTTATTTACATCTGCTTATATTTTAAGTGTTTATAAATATTTTTATGTAAGTTAAGGCAAAAAAACTTTCTTCACATGCTTATCTCAAATTTTTCAAATCACAACTGAAAAACTACTTATAAATTATTTTAAACAAGTTCAAAACAAAATTTGGACAATCAGGATTTAATTTCTCTCTAATGTTTTGAATTCAAAAATTACCACAAAAAAAGGTGTCTGGAACTAAATTGAAGTCCATTTAAAAAACGTAAAAATATTACCATCTTGTAATTTATGTGTCAATCTGAGCATGCCTATGGAGCTAGTCTATATGTGAGCATATGTGCACCAATAAATTATTGAATATATATAGAGCATTAGCCGTCCCTGAAGTGATTACATGTAAATGTGGAAGCTAAAGAATAAATGTGTTTAGTTCGCATCATTGTTTTTCCCAAAAAAGGAGAAAGGAAGATAAGGTTGCATGCAGCCCCTATTTGAAACAGACCAATATGGTGAATTCCTACGCTTTCAATAGGTCTAGCCCTAATCATCTACTTGCTTTTCTAAATCACTACATATAACGCTATATGATATTTGACATGCTTGTGTCCAGATATTGTGAATCTAAATAAATAATTCAAAGTCACAGTCTTGTTTAAAATTAAGATACATACTGAATCCATGTCATTTTCGAATACACACACATATTTGTAAATATATAATATATTTGAATTTGACGCTTTGCATGCAGCTCAATTATATTTTGAAGTTTCAACCTTTCTTTTCAAATGTTACGGCGGAGCCACCTTATTAGTTGTTCGGTGTTTGAAATCCATAAACTGTATATTATTGGCTTTTGTCGACTTGTAAAGTTCTTTTCATTGTCCCGTATGCATCAATTATGTCGTTTTCTCTAATATTTTTCTCTCAGACTGCCTCTCTAATCGTTTTATTATTTTTTTTTACGCGAAAATATGTGTGTGTGATATGGTCAGTTATATGACAAACGTAACCCTGGCGGTTGCTTAATAATTAACTGAAACAGGATTTTATAAAAAAAATTATCATAATTAATTAATAAGATTAGTTTCAAGCTCACGGGTTAGTGCAATTTCTTCCTATATTCGTTACTGTCAGGTGAATTAGATTCATATTTAAACCCGTTTTTTTTTTTTTTAATGTTTCATTCACCCAGTTCAAACTACGTTGTTAGGCTTCAAAGAGTGCATCAAGTGATAAATATTTATTTCATGAAATTTAGAAGATGCTGATGACACTAACATGCATCTTCACGCGAGAGAAGATTATTTGTTCGGAGAGAATTATAAACAAGATCCAAATTATTACTTTTCTACACTGAAAGACTATATAGCTAGATGATCACATAGTTTGGTAAGCAATTCAACTTCGAGGCTGAGCTAAATAACCATACTTTGTCATCACTGCTTAGTCTTGTGGTGTAAGAAAGCTGATAAGTGGATCTTCATTCATAATTCTTTCTCTTCATCATTCATCTCATGAACAACTTTTTCCTGGATTAACCCATGATCTGGGCTAATTTGAGGACAAGCTGGTGAACTTTCTCTGGATCTGGATAGGTTTTGGCAACGGAGGGCCTCTGCAAGCATCTTTTCATCCAAGACGAGAGAATTTGGGACAGTGGTCTTCCAGTTTGAATCCCCCAATCTGCTCGTAAGCATAAAACCATGAAGACGGACCCAATGCTATAATGTCCACATAGCCAAATGCATTACCACCAAAAAAATCTTTATCACCTAGAGCCCCCTCCAGGTTCTTGACTACTTCAATCAAGTTCTTCACAGCCGCTTCCCGTTCTTCTGCTCCCTTGCTTAACCAGATTCCCTTTCCAGTCTCAAGTACCTGTGGAACAGTACAAAAAACGTACAAAATCACTGATGTAATTCAACGTAGAAGAGATCAGAAGAAACACATTTGTATAATTAAAACATGAGAGAGAAACCTACCGTTTTGTCAATATAGTCAGCCCAGAAACGAGCTTGGGCACGCTCGTATGGGTTGGTCGGAAGAAATGGTTTGGAAGGCCAGGCCTCATCAATGTAAGCAACAATGTTTGCAGATTCCAGTACAGGCTGATCACTGTGAAGCAACACAGGGACTTTCTTGTGAATGGGATTAGAGCTGAGCAAAACTCACTTTTTCCACCAAGCAGGTTCTCTTCCCTCCTCTCGTAAGCCACACCCTTTTCTTCCAGAGCGATTCTTGCTCTCAGGCAGAATGGGCTTGCCCAGAAATCTAAAAGAACAACTGCCTTTGACATGGTGTTATAGCTTTGTTTTGATCTCTCTCACTTTCCTTGTTGGTTGTGTGACGATAAGAGAATGGGATGGGGGGATTTAATATAGATGACTAGTTTAGTATCGAATTGATATCTTCAAGCTTGGCAACGTTACGTTGAAGGTTCTTGGCCTCGCCAATCCACTAACTTGCATCGTTCTCGTGAGTGTCATTTTTATATTTCTTTTCCCGTTTCGATTTCTTGGCCTTAATTACTTTCTTTCAGTAGAATTTGCCATCTAATGGAAGGTCATATTCTTCACGGCAGGCCAACAAGATCCATCATAGCAATTCTTTAATTATAAATTCGGTTCTTCTTTTGTTTCTTGTGCTGCCGAAAGAGACAAGTTAGTTTTTTCTGTCATTATTTCGGAGATTTATCTGATATAACGAGGATATTGATCTAGACGTTCTCAATATATACTTACAATTGGACTTGAAATGAGAACTTGGATTATAACACAGATAACGACAAGACGTTAGCAAGAGCTGAAGATCTGGGATTATTAATTAATTAGTCATAGCAATATAATTAACCGACGGATTTTCATTTTTCAATGTTCTTCTTGTGAGTAACTAACAATATTCTTTATTCAGATTCTTGAGTTCATACTGCTTCCATTTTTTTAAATATTATATTTAAAAAAAAGAGGTATAGTACAATTTATGAAGTGTTTATATGTAGTTCTTAAACATGAACTGATTGTTATTATATCAGTAAGAAGGGGTCAAATAAAAATAATTAAATATATTTCAATTAACAAAATTAGTGACAATGATTGCACAACGTGGTGCACGGCGTTCAGAAGCACAGCTCGTACGCTAAACTAAATTTAAAAAAGGATTAGCGTCTCAAAACATATAAAGTCACTTTAAATTTGTATTCCTTAAAAGGATATAAGAATCTCTTGCTCGCCCATGCATGAACCGGCTACCCGCCGAAAAGTTAAAAGTTAAAACTACAGACAAAATTATCATTTCCCTTTTTTGACGTGGACCCATTCATCAATACTAAAAATATATGCTCTATGCGAAGTTTACCACACTGTTAATTATTCATAAATAGCATTAAATAATTATTTGTCGGTTTTTTTATATAATAATGCATAAAAATGTACATTTTTATTACTTTTGTCTGATCCGTTCTATAAAGTTTTGGGTCTATGCATACATAATATGTTCATTTTCTTTCCGTGGTTGATCAAAATAGTTAGCAGCACGTAGACATGGTATTATTATTAAGAATCACAAAGACAATCCCGAAGTACCCCCCGCTGTGTGAGGATGAGCTGATCTCGATCAAAACAATACGATAATTATTTAATTATTTATTACTATTTTTATTCTTAATATAAAATTTAAATAACTTATTTATAGATATTTAAAAAAATTAGTTAAATTAATTATTTATAATAGATATTTATTGATTTTCTTAGAATAATTTTTCTATAACTACTTCTTGATAGAATCTTCTTTACTATACTATGTGCTGTTAATAGAGATATTTTTTAAAAAAAGTTTATAAATTTGAGAGGTGATGAAACATATTGATATCTTATATTTAAATAAGATTTTTTATCTTGTTTATATTTAGGATCGGAAATAATATTTAATAGAATAAATGTCGGAAAAAAGGCGAGTTTCATTTTAGAGGAGTGAGCCCATTTGGATACAAGGAGGACAAGGTGGTCGGTGTGGAACTGGCACAAGAGCAACAACAAAGCTCCACTTCCCACAAACTATACACAATCTCACACTTACGTAATAGAATTATACACACACATCACAACTCTGTTACGACACAGCACAAATACCTTATTTATTTCGTCTCCATCATTTCAGACAGCAACTTCACCGACCGTATATATGGGGAGCCACCAATTGTCGTAACATTCACTGTATAAACCCATGAATATTGCCCCCAACACACAGCGTTTGTGCTGTTTCTTAGGACCTACGAAGCTGTTTCTTTTGAATCTTTTATATTTCTCACCAACTTATGTTTTTGTTGAAAAGTCCAAGGGAGTGTCGCCAGCTCATGAGAAATGATTGACAAATGCGCAAATCGACCCACTTTTGAGCGATTTGATAGGTCTCTTCTCCACCCTGGGCCAACCCTATGAATATATCTCAACACTGATGTTGTCCATGTACAGCAAACCTATATGTACATATATTCAAAACACTGCACAGATCAAACATCGGTAGGCAAAATAGACAGAAGAAGATGAAGATTCTACATCCAACGTCAGATATGCTACCGCGACTAAAGAGGAGGTAAAATAGAATAAAAGTTCATGCATGATTTAGGTACATGAAAATGACTTCGAGAGAAAAACCTGGAACTTGAGATAGTTAAGTTTGGCGGAGACGACGTTGAATGGAGATTTGATAGCAGAGACCAGCACACTGAATTAAATCATTCTGGGAAAGTTTATAGTGATGTGAATAAGAAATTAGTGGTAAAAGGGAGTAGTTTGACATATTTATCAGGATGCTTCCTCTGAGGTCAGCATGCCACTTGACCGATTGGCTACAGAACTTGGCGATAGATCATGTATTGGACACCTTCAAAAAGACACTGTCTTTAGCCTGTTAATTTTCTTCGTTGGGTTTATCTTAATCATGGCACTTGGTCTACTTAACGTTGTTTTTATACCTTTATCTCAGTTGTTTAAGGTTCAATTAATGCTTCACAGAAATTTGACCCGCCTGTCTTTCATGTGAAATCCCATGTATCGATCTCTGGCTTTTTCCCAACCTTATATAGCCAATCCGACCGAATATTATAATATCTTTTGTGGTTGTCAAGGACAGAAATTCTTATTGGTTTTGACTACTTAATTGCATGTTGGTGATTAAAGGCCAAGGAGAATCAGCCAACACTTATTCATATAATAACAACTCGAACACAGCACAGGTTGAAATTTGAAGCTGTTGCTGACATAGTGACAAAACTTATTTGGATCAAACTTGTGGACCATGTGAATGGCCTTGTTGTAAAGATAAATTCCTTAAATGGTTTGTTTATAACATGGATTAGACAACTTTGACCCCAAAAAAAACATGGATTAGACAACAATCAAAACGTATAACTTAAATATTATATTTAAACATTGAGGCCCTCAACTAATATGATTGTCTCTTAGCATAGTCGGTGCAAGGGGACTTAAGGGGTGTTTGGAAGCATCCAAAAGTCTTTCTTCGAAATACTTTTTAATAAAACGAGAAAAACTTCTCTACATATTTATTTCGTACACGTAAAAACACTTTTAAAACTATAGTTTTGATTTCATCCAAACACCTTTTTAGTAAAAAAAAAAATGCGACTTGAATATTTAATCATTGAGATTTTCTCTCAAATATATCAATCAGTTTAAGACATGTTGCAGGAAAAAGCTGCTTGGACCAGTAGAATGAAATCGCCCCAAAATATGAGTGTGGCCCAATCTGTTATAAATTAAGATGGTATTTCAAATCTAAAGCAAATTATCTAATAAATTAATTAGGATAACCTTCACAGATAAATTTATTTACCCAAAAAAAAAAAGCGATTAACATTTGGATTCAATCATAAGAATGAACATGTTTAAGTTAAAATAATACTCTCTGATCTTATTTATAAAACATTATATTACTAATCCTATGTCTAATAAACTATTTATGACTCATTTCAAAACAATGTTCTTATCTCCTTTTTTTTCCGCTTAAATAATGTCTTTCCATTCTCCTCTTCCCCTTTTCTCAGAGAGCTATATCAATTAGCAACCAAAAGATAAATTTAGGAAGGTAAAAATTTATGACACTCAACTGATTAACTATAACTTCCTTAATCTCATGTATAAAAGTATTTAACTTGGTGGGACGGGACATGGAAGGGAATGTGTTAATTGAGACTCTTTGTCCTGATGAAAAGCTAGGAATTAAATATATATTTATTCAGAGAAGGAATAATCGAGGGTATGAGAGGAAGTTTGGAAAGGAACTATCTGTCCCTCCCCAATAGGCTTCTTAAACACACTCGTGAATTTGATTGTCTATGTATACAGCCCAGACAAGCGCATGCCTATACGGAACAAGTTACAAAACATGGGCTTTAATTCCCCTGTTGCTCTCTCTGTGTGTGCGTGTGTGAGAGAGAGAGAGATGGATTAATGTGCTGCACTCCTAGCGCCTGCGGGACTGTATGAATGAATATTAATAGGCATGTTAGTTTGTCAAATGAGTCCGAGGTGGGATCCATGGCCATGAAGTTGTCTGCTACCCCCAGACATGGCATGATTGCAATTCTTTGGACCTTTGCTCTGTCATTCCTCCTCCCTGCTTCACATATTCTTGCCATGGATTCCCCCTTTCAGCCTCTCACAGTAATTTTGTTCCCTACTTCCAGTTTCAGTCCTTTATACTATTCTATTAGAGTATTCCACTGTTCATTTCCTTTCCATTTTACGCTACAGCCTGCATCTCTGGGTCGTACCATCCAAAGAATTACAGAAAAGAGTAAATAATTTTTCGTGCACCAGTCAGAGTAAGAAGAGAAACGGGGGAAAATAGATAAGGACAGTCATATTTGAAACCATTTTTTATTTTTTATTTTTTCCCCCCCATGTCAATGCCACTGGCTTTTATTCAAGGGTGACCCCTGGACTTCCATAAGCAAGTACTGCGTCAAAGGAAAAAATTTTATTTCATGAAATTTGGAAGATCCTGAAACAAGCTCATGATGAACAGTGACAACCTTGTACAACACCTGAGGTAGTTATTTGTTTAGAGAAAATTATAAGCAAGATCCATGTAATAACTTTTTTTTTTGTGCCGAATGACCAGATAACCACAGACACACAGTATGATATTCAATTCAACTTGGAGCTGAACTGGATTACCACACTCTCTGATCACTCAATCCAGAAGACTATAAGAAAGTTGATAAGTTGATCTCATCAATACATAATTCTCTTTCTTTATTCCTGCCATATGTGAATTTTTCTTTTGTTACCCCATGATCTCGGATAATTTGACAACAAGCTGGTGAACTTTTTCTGGGTCCGGATAGGTTTTGGCAATAGAGGGCCTTTGCAAGCATCTCTGCATCCAAGATGAGAATTTGGGACAGTGGTCTTCCAGTTTGAATCCCCCAATTTCCTCGTAAGCATAAAACCATGAGGCCGGGCCCATTGCTATGATGTCCACATACCCAAAGGCGTCACCACCAAAGAAATCTTTGTCGCCTAGAGCTCCCTCCAAATTCTTGACTACTTCAATTAAGTTCTTCACGGCCGCTTCTCGCTCTTCTGCTCCCTTGCTTAACCAAATTCCCTTTCCAGTCTCAAATACCTGTTGAACAATACAAAAAACATACAAAATCAGTGATGTAATTCAACGTAGAAGAGATCAGAAGAAGTACATTTGTATAGGCAAAACATGAGAGAGAGCTACCGTTTTGTCAATATAGTCAGCCCAAAAACGAGCTTGTGCACGCTCGTATGGGTTGGTCGGAAGCAGAGGTTTGGAAGGCCAGGCCTCATCAACATAAGCAACAATGTTTGAAGACTCCAGCACAGGCAGGCCATTGTGCAGTAACACAGGGACTTTCCTGTGAATGGGATTAGAGCTGAGCAAAAGATCACTTTTTCCTCCAAGCAGGTTCTCTTCCCTGCTCTCGTACGCCACACCCTTTTCTTCCAGAGCAACTCTTGCTCTCAGGCAGAATGGACTTGCCCAGAAGTCCAGAAGAACAACTTCACCTGCCTTGGACATGTTAGCTTTGATTTGATCTTTTACTTTTTCCCTTGTTGGCTGTATGATAAGAGAATGGGAGGGATTTAATTTATAGAGCAATAATTTAGTGTTAAAGTGATGTGTTCAAGGTTTACGATTTTGAAGGTTCTTGGTTTCGCCAACTCCCAAAGTTGCAACATCTCGTTAGTGTCAATTTAGTTTTTTAGCTAGTTGGATTTCTTAGCCTAGCTTGCTTTTACTAAAATTTTTCATCAAATGGAACGACGTATTCTTCACTGTCCGCCAAGAAGATCCATCGTAATAATTCTTCATTATTAATTAAATCAGGTCCATTGTTTGTTTTTGTTTTGCTCCTGAGAGAGAAATTAGGTTACATTTGGTACAGTATTGAAAATGAAAAATAAAGATTGGGATTGAAGGTGAAAACATATATTAAAAAGATACTTAACATGAGTAATTTTTTATCACATAGGATTAGGCAATCCCCACATAGATAGAATTGGAAAATACCACCTCTCCTCGTGATATTCCTCTATCCCACATATATTGGTTTGTCTAATCCCAAGTATCATACAATTATTCAAACTAAACACTCTTTTCATATAGTTTTATACTTTCAATCTTAATCCTTATCCCTCATTTTTAATGTTTCATTACAAATAGGAACTCAGCGTTTTGGCTCAAACCTCCACACAACAGAATCAACAGATATCACCAACATATTTATACGGATGTTCTTCTATTCACCGTACGTTAACCTTGAAATAATAAGTAATTGATCTCGGGTGAGTAAAACTAAATTTTCTATTTAAAATACTTAACATTATTTTAAAATTTTATCTAGCTCGTTTTTTCAATCGATTTCATGTCCAAACTCCTGATTCTCCAGTAACCTCCCGATTCTTTTTGCAGTCCATACAACTGTGAATTAGCTATTAATTCACGCTGTTTTAGATCGAGATCCCTTTATTTAACATAAATAGAATTCTTTATATAATATTTTAAACATTTAAGTTGGCAAAATTAAAATAATTTCAATGCACGTATTTTTTTTCATACTTTTTATAATTTTTTTGGGAATAAAATTAAATTTCAAGAGTTCCTCTTAGTGAAAGAGATTATGATTGTTTAATCACGAAGTTTCAAATTCAAATCTATATAAATAAAGAAACATTTTTTAGGAGTTGCGAAAGAAACATTTTTGGAAGAATTATTCTCAGCTGCTACTCAAACTTGACATTTGAACCAAATTATATGTTTTCAAAATACATCGAAGTTTATAGGAGCATATAAATTAAATGGTCACTTTGCTCTTCATTTCTATAACTGATTATTTTTTTGGGCCTGACTTTTTGTAACAAAAAGAACGAGATATTTGCTCTGCGTTTATCGGGCCCATAATTTGAACCCAATAGCTAATACTTCTCTCCTCATATAATACGCGGATCGGGTGATGACTAGAGGGTCTTGGACTTTCAGTTAATTATTTATAACAATAAAATTAATTTATGGATTTTCACCATCGTTGTTGTGAACTCGTGATCTCAAGAGTTTCCACCTTCAACCAACGAGATCATTGATCGCGGCAGATTCTTCTCCTTTTTGCATGTAAACTCGATCTATTTCCTTTGACCAAAACAATAAAAAAAAAAAAAAAGACGATCTATTTCCATTGATTAAAGTTTGAACTGGCTTCATTAGGTATATATAAGCATAATAGTAGCATCATTTTATTAACTAGTAATTTGCATGGGCAACAGGGGGAAAATGCTAGATAATCTACAGTCCAAACTAGGAAAAAAGAATTCGAACAAATACCAAAAAAAGGACCTACATGTACTACCTGGTAGTATTTGGAGGTTGGAAAAAGAAAAAAAGGGTCACTTCCGAAATTACTTATAAGAAAAGGTAGGTTTATGGATATGAACAGCAGGAGAATCAGCAGCTGAAAAATGCACCAGAATGTCAAAAATTCAGCCTCCTCCTCTTCAGGCGGGACAATTGCTTGGGGAAACCTGATTATGGAAGAAACTATAATAATGAAAGGCGAAGGCGTTGGCCTTCCTTCTCCTCCACTGTTATAGGCAAGGGCTGGTTTTCTCTTTCTGCTATGAATCTTTTATATGGCACAAACCCTATAGGCCTCTGCAATATTTCAGATATGGCTGATGGTTCTCTGGGTGTTGTCAAGTACCCAAAAAGACTCAATTTTTCTCCCTTTCTGTAGGGATTCATGTGACTTCTGGCTTCGATATCTGGGTTTTCATCATTGTCCCCATCACTTATTGAGCTAGTAATGGTTGAACCACACCAATCTACTTCCTTTTCAACTTTATCTTCAACTTCCCTCCCCCAAGGAGCAAAACCAGCAGGAGCTTCTGTTATATCTGAATTCTTCATTGTCGGATCTGTTACCAGAAGAGTCGTCCCAAAAAGCTTGAAAGTCCGACCACAAGTTTCTTCTGCTGCGTCTTCTTTGGTAGAAACACTCTCTCTAGGGAAAAGCTCAAATTTCTGAACAGAATAATTACAGAGCCATATTATATAAAGTTTTTTATTTAGCTATTTCTAGAAATTACGATCAAACAGATCAGATGAGGAAATACCTGAAGAGTTTGTAGATCAGGAGATGAATGGGCATTCGGGGCAGAACCATCTTCCTCTGATGGACTTCCATTTGGTTTATATGAATCAGAGTATCCGGGAGTGTCTAAACCAAACGCAGATAACACTGATTTCGGAGACTGGTTTTCCTGATCTGATTCTGATGACTTGAGAGAATTAGACCTCATTGGCTGGCCTGCGTTGGAGATTGCTTTATCAGGGAATTCGACCAGCTTCCGAGGGTAAGGATGAGAAGGCTTTCGCTTTGGTCGTGGCGGTGGGATTTCAATGGACTCCACTGAGCTTATGCTGCTCCCAGCAGTCTCACGAAGAACCTGCCACAAGCAAAAGAGTCCAGAGATTGATGAGATGAGCCCTTCAAATTCAAAACAAGTTCTTCATTTAGTACATCAAGGAGGCCATCAAAATTTGAACTTTGTTTCACATATGACTTTTCGCTTATCATATGATAGGGATTTTGTGAAAAAATAGAGAAAGCAATAAACCTTTGTGAAATACTTCTGAGCATGGCTTCGAATCTGAACTGCGCTCTTTGTGCCAACATGTTCTGTTGCGAAAAATAAAGGATCCCAAGACTTAGACCGAGTACACCTTTAATCCTTTCTTTTTTAATCTTCAAATTAGTGATAATTAAATAAATACTGCTTCACAATCATTACTGTTTCAAATTTTCCAGAAATAACCAGATTGCATTCTTTCGTGAAATACAGAAAGTTGAAATTAAATGGTACCTTCAATCTTTCGCCATGCCCTGCCATGGAGCTTCAGAGCTTCAAGGAATTTGTTATGCTCTTCATCTGTCCATCGCTCCCTCTGTTTCGTGATGGTATATGGTTTCCTGACCTATTGAAGAAAACACAAAATCGATTAATTATGTACCATAAAGAGGAATAATCAATCAAATATATATTTATAAAACGCGAGAAAGAGAGGATTTTAGATTGAACCTTTGGAGCATGGTCTTTCCCACAAGAAATCTTGTCGTTTGGTTGAACAAGGGACGCAGAACGTAGTCCAGAACTCAGAAATACTTCCGTTTCTAGTGGAAGGCCGTTGTATCCGGAAACTTCATTATGATCCTGTATTCAAAATCCAAAGCGCAAATATTTACAATCTAATTACATAGAAAAATGTTAAAGGAATTAGCTAGACGTAATTATAATCAGAAATCATTTGTCCACAACCTATAGGAAATATCCAAAATTTGCAATAGTGACCGATTTATGGAATATATGCACTTTTGGCGTTTAGGAAAGGAAATCTCATCATCTTTAAAAATAGATTCCTCGTCCTTTTTGCTTTGCAAAGTTAGATTACCCAAAACGAAGGAACAAACAGATTGAAATCGCATCATATGCAATAAAAATAAATGAAAACAACGATGTTGCAAGAAAATTGAGGCCACAGAATCAATCAAGAGATATTTAACGAAAATAAAATTAGAGAGCAGAAAATCCCGTAAAACGTACCTGGATAGCCATGGCTGCAAATTTCACCAATCAAGATCTTCTCAACTTGCCCAGCGGATTTAGAACCAGGAAGCGACTCAGTGTTCTTCTACCCCCGAGAATATCTGTTAGATCTGTTGATCAATCACGAATCGAAGGCATCAAAGCTCGATCGCAGAGAGAAATCCCCAGAACAGTACATAAACTTTGCCACCCACACAAAAATCCATCCAAAACCTTTCTCTCCTACCAAGTAAATCCTGCGAACAAATCTATAGAACCGGACCGAAGAAGAAGCCGGAATAGTTTTCCGGGAAAATAAATGGAATCAGGGGAGAGAGCAAGACGAGGTATGAAATCACGAGAACTCTGGAATGGGAAAGAGTGACAGTGTTGAAGAAGAAGAGAAACAAAGGAAAATCAGGAAGCTTGGAGATATGGAAGTGAGGAAAAGGAGAAGAACAGGGGAGAGGCAGGTGGGCTATGGATAGAACTTAGAAGAGAGGGGAACGAATGACAACCATGTGGGGTGTGAAAAATGGACTTTGTAATGAAGAAAAAGTGCAAAAGCGAACCAGGAGGGGTCGCCACGTCAGATGTTGAATTTCCGTTTTGTCGTTGTTGGGGAAAAAAAATATTTAAGAAAATACCTTGTTTGCGTGCCTTCCATCGAAATCTCGACAGCTCGTTAAAATCTTGTGGCTGTCGTCTAAAGACAGCCTAGACACGTGGTGGCCTATCGTGCGTCTGTTTTGCACTTTTTTGAATTTTAATGCTCTTTTGTATATTTTAATTATTCTTTAGTCATAGATCATACTCATGCCAGCGTTCAATTAGGGTGTGTTTGGTTGGAGGAGAGGGGAGGGGAGGGGAAATGAGCCCCTTCCCTCATTTGGTTAAAAATTTTAGAGGGGAGGGAAGCTAAAATGTCTCCTCCTCTCCCCTCCCTCCCCCCATTTTGGCTCCCCTCCAAATTGGGGGTTTTTGGAGGGAAGCCAAAATTTTGGACCATTATACCCTTATGGCTTTTTTAATATTCCACTTCTACCCATAAAATATATTATTATAATATTTATTTCAAATAAAAAATATATTATCCTAAGTAAAAAAATAAAAAATATATACATTATTATAATTAAAAATATATTATAAAAATTATTTAAAAATAAAAAATATTTAAATAAAAAATTATAATATTATAAAATTAATTGTTTTTTATAAATATATTATTTATTAAATATATTTTAAAGCTGGAAAAAAAGATAGCCTAAAGAAAATAAAATTTCATTTTTTTATGGCATATAAAATTTGTTAATTTAATTATTTTAAATATATTATTATATTTATTAGAATAAAAAATTACTATACCAATTTTTTAATACACATATTAACATGATAAGACTGAATTTTTATTAAATTATATAATTTAAATTAAGATGTAAATTAATTTATATAATATATCAATAAAAAACATAAACTAATATGTAAGGGTAAAATGATAAATTGATTATTACTATCCCTCCCCTCCCCTCCTTGAACCAAATAAAGGATCATTAAACGCCCTCCCCTCCCCTCCTTTTTAATCAAACCAAACAAGGGGAGGATAAAACCTCCCCTCCCCTCCTTTTTAATCAAACCAAACAAGGGGAGGATGAAACCTCCCCTCCCCTCCCCTCAAACCAAACAGGCCCTTACTCGCAGGCGGGACCGTGGATGATTAATACTCGCGACACTAGAGTGACACGTGTACCACTAATCAGTGCGCCATACAAGCCTGGCCAATAGTCCAATACCTTCCCGATTTGTAAACCGATAAGTGGGATTTACCGGATTATTCATATTTCCTAAATCCAATTATCGTTATAAAAATAATAAAATAATAAATGGTAAGAAAGGCCTAGTACAGATATTAATCGACGCTTCTATTCATGATTTGAGCAAAGGATTTCTTTTCGGGGTATCTTTTTGACTTTCGACTTTCGAGCAGCCTATCAGACTCCCTGGGGGGTTGCTCCAAGATTTTTATATTTTGATTTTTTTTTCTAGCCAGATTATATTTTGTTGGCCTTTATCGTTAAAATATTTAATTTAAATAGTATAAATATGTTGACACCAAAAAAAAACATGTTATTTTTCTAAGTAACATAATCGGCATATAATTTGATGAAATTCATATTATTATTGTTTAGTATTTATACAAACTGAAAGAAATGTCGAAAAGATTTAATGCGAATTTAAACTAAGTTAAATGTTGAAATAAAAATGAAAAGTTAAGGAAGGATGAAAATATCATTTTATTGAAAACAGAAATTTTAGGAATTTGAAAAAAAATTATAATTCCAAAGAGAAAACATTGTATAGATACGTTCTCCATTTTAAGGAATGAAGAGTTACATAAAAATAGGAGTCACTATCAGAGTTTTTTAAAAGATGATTTTTTTTTTTTTGGTGTGAAAAAAGGTCCAGAAGAGTAGGACAGGACTGGGGAATCAGTCGAGCGTGGGGAAGATATTTATTACCCTATAGGACCTATTGATGAGAACAATTATCCTGAATTAATAAAACAAAATTTTGGCAAAAAGAACCAAAATTAACAAATGTTATATTAACTACCATTAATAGGACAACGAACAAGTAAGAATAAATAAAAAAAGAGAGAATATTTTATGTATTTACAAATTAACTTAATATGATAATTTACATCTAACTTTGTTATATTTTTTTCAAATTACTCAGATAATCAATCAATGTTTACTCAGATCTGAATGTCCCTATTTTGCGGTAAAAAGAAAGAAAGAAAGAAAAGATGTTAATTAATACGTGTAAATCCAATACTTGGTGCTTACAGGGACCCTCACTCCCGAATGATGTTTTAGCGTGTCCCTGTGTTTGTGAATATAAAAATAGATTTAGCTTTGTTCGTGCACACACATATTGATTCGGTAAATTTTAGGTGAAAATATTTAATCAATTCTTTTTTTGGTAAAAGAGAGAGAGAGAGAGAGAAGAGATTCATAAAGAGTAAAGAAACAGATACAAGGCAGAGGTAGCGAGCGGGTGCAAGTTGTGACGGAGATAAGGTATAATTTCAATAATAATAATAATAATAATAATAAGAGGATATCTGGTTAAGATATGAGGTTGAAATATCTTGAAAAAGCGAGGGAGAGACAGGGAGAGGAGAGTGAGTGGGGGCCAAGAGCTGCGGATAGACGATAGACGATAGACGATAGACGAAAAGCGCACAACTTTCTGGTATGCACTGTTTTCCACGTCATCACCACCGGCCGCCCCACTTGTAGTAATCCGACACGTGTGCATGCACTACTGGGTAGTCATCCCCTCCTCACCACTCGTTTTCTCCTCATTTATAATTTAATTCTAAATTCCTCCAAAAATTTCCGAGCCACATGCTTTTCTTTTTGATTTTTCCTTAATTTTTCCCCACTAGGAAGGTAAGGGGGGCAATAAAGTGCATACAAAGAAAGGGAACTGAAAAGTGCCAGGTGCCGTAGGTTGCTTTGAAAAATGAAAAATGTGCGGCTGAAGATGAAGAAGATGTATAGGTGGCAACATGTTCATTCACTTCCCGGTTCTACCCCCCAAGCGTCCCATCACATTATGGGTGGGGAACATTTCATTTATTCCCCCCCACTTCATATCTCCGCCCGATTTAGAGTACAGATGAGCGATTGAAAAAGTAGTTTATTGAAAAAGTAGTTTATAGAAAAGTAAAATTGGATAAAAGTTAAATTGGATAAGTTAAATTGTGTTTAGATTAGAGTTCAGAAAAGCTAGATTGTAAAAGTGAGATTGGTAAAAGGTTGTTTGGATTATGATTGAATAAAAGTAAGTTTGGTTATAAAATGACCAAAATATATATGAGTTTTAATAAATAATGAAACATAATTAAAAAAATAATTTCACATAATACAATGAAATTAAAATAATTTAATATGAAGAAGTCATAAAAAATATTTTAAATATAAAGTGAAATATGAAAAAATAAAAGTATATTTTTAGGAGCATATTTAAAAATAAAAATATATTTCTAACTTATTCATTACTTTCAACTAATTTTAACTGATTTTTTATTATCTACAAATTTGTTCTTTGAGGCTTATAATAAGAACTAAAAGAGTAATAAATTTCTTAACTTTTTCTCTCTCCATATTTCAAAAGCTATAAGCCATAAGCTATAAGTCATAAGCTGTTAATTTTAGCTTATAGCTTATTGTAGCTTTTTAGACAAAAGCCCGATTACAGAAAAGCTGATCCAAACAGACCTAATTTTGTCAATCGAGTTTATAGAGCTTATAAACTACTTATAAGCTCAAAATAAATGATGCCAAACAGGCACTTAATCTTTTTAACCACACGCGACAATTATATATCCACGATTGATTCCTCTCTCTCTTCTTTTAATCTTTGATGTATAATTTCATGTGAAAATTTTCTTTTGTTTTAAAAAAAAAGTCTCAAATTGATGATAAGCACATGCACCATAACCACAAATGTTAAGGGGTAGGTCCAATATCACGCAGTATTTAATCATTCACCTAATATTTTAAAATATTTTGTAACTCATCAAATATATTAAAATATTTTTCAGCTGTGTTGAACATTCTAACGTAAAAGAAAATATTTTGAGATTCTGACAATTAAATCGTGCCATAATCATAATTATAAGAGTTAGTTAAAAATTTAATATAGTCTTAAATATAAATACAAGACTTTAATTTACTTTATTTGATATAATTGTTTATTATTTTCTAAAATAGTCTCTGAAATGATTAAGAGTTTCGATTCTCATACTTATATTCCTCCACTTCTCAATATAAAACCTATTTAACTAATTTGATTAAATTAAAAAAGTTAAGTGAGTTAGTTAATTATAAAAAGCATGACATGTTTTTTTGAAAATACCACAATCATCTTTTTTAATATTCTTTCTCCTTCTTCTACTTACTTATAATTGAAAGAGATCAATAGAAATAATTTTTAAAAATTAATAAAAATAAAAAATAAATTTTATATTTAAAACTAAAATTAATTTAATAATTAAATTATATATTAAGGATCATGACTAGTTATGTTTCTGGTGAAGCCACCCTCCCGCTTTCACGTGATCTGTTCCGAGGAACAAAAAGACCAAACTAGCAGAGACCAAACCTTCCACTCTTTTCGCCTCCCAGTGGATTCCGCTCAACTTGGATAAAGTTGTGGAACTGGATAATAAATTTTTTGTTCAACTTCACTGCAATATGCCAAAAGGCTAACAATATAAATATTTTGCAACTCATCAAATATCTTAAAATATTTTTTAGCTGTGTAGACATTCTAACGTAAAAGAAAATATTTTGAGATTCTGACAGCTATATCGTGTCATGGTTGTAAGAGTTAGTTAAAAATTTAATTTAGTCTTAAATATAAATATACTACTATATCCTTTAATATAATATCTTTTCAACTAAATTGTGCTATT